TGGTGAATGGGTTAAGGCTGTGGCAGGAATCGGGCTTGCTTCTCAGCTGACCTTGTCCGTGGAGCCCAGCAGGGCACAGGGGCTCTCAGGAGTGCAAGAGGGAGGCAGCCGAGCATCAGAGGAGGAGCTGTGGCCACAGAAGAGGGCACAGGAAGGTGCCACGCGGCTGGCTTTGACCATGGATGAAGGGACCAGGAGCTCGGGAACATGGGTGGCCTCCAGGATCTGGAAAAGGCAAGACACTGATCCTCCCCCAGCGCCTCCTGAAAGGGGTGAGGCCCGCTGACCCCTTCCTACCCAGTGCGGCCTGGCTTGCGTTCCTGGGCTCCCCGAACTGGTGGTGAGCAGCGCGCTGGCGGCCTGTGGCCTGCTTGCAGGTCGTGGTGTCCGGGAGGCACCCGCTCCTGTCCAGAGCGTCTGACGCCTTCTGCATGTCCCCGTCTGCGTGCTCCCACAACCAGCCTCAGAGAGCTGCAGTCGCAAATGTCTCTGTTGGAAATTTAAAAAGATCAGAAAAAACAAAATGAGCTTTCACCAAGGAGGCTAACGTCATAGTAGAAGGTGGCAGGAAGGAATCCGGTGTGTGACAAGCGCACACGGATGAGGGAACCACGCGCAGTAGAGCTGGTCGGTGGATCCAGCGTGGCCGCCGGCAGGGCTGACCAGAAGCGGCGCGGGGCACGGGACCGCGGTCCCTCTCACAGGGGACGGACGTGCAGAAGCCCGGCTGAAGTCGTGGAGTGGATCCAGCCGCCTTTTGGAAGTTGCGACACCACAGGGTTGAAACCGTCTCGGCGTAATCTGTGGTGGTAGCGTGAGAGAGAGCGTGTGTGTGGGAACGGCTGCGGGCATCGAAGGCGCTGTCCTCGTTCCTGCAGTTAGAAACGCGGTGACTTGGCTACACCCGCCAGGGGCCTCCCTCGAACCCCACATCCGGCAGGGAGATGCCGGAGGGTCCCCGTGTCGGCCAGGATGGAGGCCAGGTTGCCTTCAGTCACCAGGACTAGCCAAGGCGTTACCGGATGCCCAAACCATCGTAATAAGAGAAGAAAAATGAGGTATGACTTGTGGAAATAAACAAAGGAAATCTCATTGAAAGTCGTGTCTGGGGACGCCTGGGTGGCTCAGTGGGTTAATCATCTGCCTTCGGCTCAGGTCTGGGTCCCAGGGTCCTGGGATCGAGTCCTGCGTGGTGCTCCCTGCTCAGAGGGGAGCCTGCTTCTCCCTCTCTCTCTCCCTCTGCACTGCGCACTTGCGCTCTCTCCGTCAAAGTCTTAAAAAAAAAAGTGTTGCCCCCCCCGCCCCACGCTTGCGTTGCCACAGGAAGAGCCTGTCTGGTTCTCTGTCCCTGGCAGAAGGAAGGGGCTCGCGGGAACTCGACAAAGGAGCCTCCCGGCCTCCGCCGCTCTGCTGGCCTGGGCCCACCACGCGCCGCTCGTCCGGAGCCGTACTTCTCTGCTCTACGCCAGTAAACGTGTTTCGCTGGTAAAGTCGCTGGCTTTTTTTTTTTAGGTCAACAAAAGGTAGGGAAAGAAAAACCCAAGTGGTTATTATCTGAAGAAACATGAAAGTTCTCCTAGAAAAGCAAAGGTGAACGGGGGACGAGTGTCCTTGTCAGGCAGGTGGCTGCTAACAGTCCAGCATGTGAACGGGCGTTTCTGGACCCACTCCTCGCCAGCTGCGTCTGGAAATGCGTTGTGTGAAGGGGCCACAGAACAGTGAGACAGTGAAGGCCCCGGGAAGAAGCCCTGTACGGGACGTGCGGGCCGCCTGCGGTCACTTAGGACGCATTTGGAAGCAGGGCAGTGGCCGGGGCTCAGCTGGGGAAACCCCGTCACCCAGGCGGGTCTACAGATGGAATGCCGCCCCACACAAGTTCCCAGACACTTAGCACGCGGTTTGATCACTGGACTCTGGGTTTGGATCTGGGGACAAAGGACAAGACAGCCCTGAATTTGGTGCCCGCTGTTGTCCTGTCTTTGAAGCTTAGAGAGGGGCTTTGGGCCCCCTGGTGTGTCTTGTCCCTCTCAGTGCCTTCACTGGGGACCCAAGTGCTTGGCACCAGCTCTTGGAGGAGGCGCTGGGGGAAGGAGTTCCCCTTGGAAGAGCCCTGAGACTACGTGTACAGCAGGATGGCTGGGTACCAGCCACTGGAGCCATCCCAGAGCCCAGGGTGGGGTAAGAGTGCCCCGGGACTCCTTCTGTCCTGAAGGGCCAGGACCCCAAGATGGGATGGAAGAGGGGGCTGTGGCAGATGCCCAGAGCAAATCTAGAGCCCGCAGCGTCTCGGGACACAGGACAGGGCAACAAGGTGGCATGGTGAGCAGTCCTCTCGGCAACCCCAGAGGGACCTTGCAGGCTCGGTGCCGGCGGCGGTGAGGAGCCCTACCTCGGAGCCAGGCACACCGCAAACCGGGGAACCCTATCTGAGGAGCCCCTCCAAGAAGGGGTCCACCGCTGGGGCCCAGAGACCCTGGGGGTCTGCCTGTGCAGTGGGGGAGGCTGTGCGCACTGCCCCCTTTAGAAAGGGCCCCTGCGGAGTGCCGCGGGCGCGGGGGGCTACTGTCCCGAAGACCCCAGGCTCTGTGCCAGGCCCGGGTGGGCAGGCCAGACCCGATGGGGTCATTCGTGGCCGCTCAGCACTCTGCAGCCAGGGCAAGGGGGGAGGCGCCACAGAGGCAGTGGGCTCGAGCTGGCAGACCCGGGGCAGGGCCCACGACCCAGCTCTGTGGGTGGACAGAGTCTTGGGCCCGAGACCCCACTCTGGGGCATCCCCAGGCTCCTGCTGACCTCACTAGGGGTGAAGGTGGTTCCGGCCAGCCGGCTGCCCCTGGGGGCCTGGAATGGCGGAGGCACTCCCCACCGCCCCACCCCTAGGCGGGCGGCTGAGGTCCTGGACTTGGAGCGGCCCAGATGCTGCCCTGGACCACAGACTTCCACGTGCATCCGCCCTGCCCTGTGGTCAGGTCCCACCTGCGGTGCACCCACCTTCTCCGCAGACCCGCAGCCCAGCCCACCTGTTGTAAGACCCCTGCCTCTGCAGCTGTGGAACGCGGGGTCCAGCCTGAGCCCTGCGAGGAGACCACGGGCGTGTGCCCCGGGGTGAAGATGAGACCACTTGCCTCCATGGTCCTGGGGGTCCTGGACGGGGTCTCAGGCTGCTCCTGCCGACACACAGCTCGTGGCTTTTGCTAATTTGGGGGCTCCTGCCGTGCATGTAGGTGGTGTAACCTGCCTGCTCCTTAGTGTTCTCATGGCCCTGTCCTTGGTTTTGGGACCCTGCCTCCTGCCTGTGTGGGTTTCACGGCACCTTCCCCAGCGCCGCGTCCCTTCATCTCCCGGCTCATCGCTTGGACCTTCAGAGATGGTTTGGGGTTGTCCTGGCCTTTGCCGCCTCTGCCGCCACTTGTGGGCACAGCTTGCCCTTTTGCAGGGGGTGTTCCCCCCCACACCCCCACAATGGCCCCTTCCCCTCGCCCTCCCGTCGGCCGGGCCCGCCTAGCCCCTCGTGGGGACTCCTGTCCGAGCAGAGTCCGGTCAGATGAGGAACCAGAAGTTCCTCCTTGTGTCTGAAGACTCCTGCCAGGAAACACGGAGAAGCTGCTCGCCCGTCCCGGGGGTGGCCCTTCCTGGCGTTCGTGCCATCAGCCCCATTGTCCTCACGCATCAGTGTGGGCTGCCGTCCCCGCCGGCCCGTCCCCTGAGGCCCCCACCCGCTCAGCAGCCCCTCCCTCACCAGCCCTGGCCCCAGTATGGCCGCATGAAGTCCTTGAGAGCTCACTGAGGGCAGGAGGCCCTGGGGGGTGAGCTGGGCTCGTGTGGCCCAGGGCTGGGGGAGAGGGCCCCTCTGCTGTCTGCCACCATCTGGATGCCCTGTCCACACCTGCTAGGGGGCTCTGGCAGAGCCTGGGGCCCCCGTACCCATCCCAGGGAGCCCCTGCCCCAACCATGCTGCCCAGCTGCCAGCACCCAGATGCCCAGTGCATGAAGGCCCAGGCCGGCAGCATTTCCTCGGGACGGGGGCTTCCCTGTGGGGTCTGGGTGGGGCAGGGGCCACAGCACGCATGTCTCACCCTTGGAATTGGGGGGCTGGGGGTGGGACTGGGCCAGGCCTAGACCACAAGGCCACGGTGGGAAAGCCTCATAACCGACCCTCATGTTTGCAGAAAGCATCCATTTAATAGAAGGTTCCAGCACTGACCACACAACGCCTGTCACACACCACTGTGTGGGGAAACCTGGCAGCGTGGCACCCACGACCTCCACGTCCTTCCCTCGCAGAGAGAACCTAGGCCAGTAGCCCAGAATGAGTTGTGCTTTGGGTAGGTGCTAACAGGTGTCCAGCGGCCCGTGGAAACGCACCAGCCCTGCCTGACGCCCACAGACGCAGGGCCGCGGCCGTTCACGTTAACACGGACGGGAAGGACATCTTCTTGTTCTTGGCCTCAAAGTCCTGGGTCGCAGGAACCTTCGTATGACAGAGGGACCCCTCGGGGGTCTCGAGGCAGCCCGCTCCCCTCCACGTGCTCTGAGTAGGCCCAGCCTCAGGGTTGGGGGCTCCAGGCCAAGCTGCTGACTTCCTGGGGTTCACAGCTCCCCTCTCCTGCTGGCCGCACCGTGCTGGAGCGCCGGCAGGCAGGGGAGCCCCTCGGCCCGGCCCTGGGCCAGACCCTCACCGTCGCGTGGCCAGACCCGGCCCCGTGAGCGGGCCATCGGTACGTGGCCGCGGGAACACAGCTTCCGCGTGAGCTGTGCGAGTGCACAGTTGTGGGGGGCTTGGCTCCCTCCCGTCCGCATGCACCCCTGTCTCCCTGTCCGCCGCAGCCGGACCCCGTCACGAGTTGTGGTACGTTGCGAGGGGACGCGGACTGTACAGGTTTGTAAAAACAGGTTAAAAAAAGGCCTCCCCGCCAGCTTCTCCTGGGGCCCAGGGGCATGTGCCCCCTCCTCCCCGGGGAGGGCTCCTGTCTGGGGCGGGTCAGACCGACATCAGGGCGCTGTGGGGGCGCGGGGGGCCCCCGGCGCTCCATGCAGCGTGAGGCATGCCGTCGTGGGGTTGGGGCTTCTCGCGGGGCCGGCTCAGAGCTGCGTCTCGTCACGGGTCTCGGGGTTGCAGGAAGCCAGCCTGTGGCTGCCGCTGCTCTTCTGGCTCTGCGGGCCGCTGGCCACGTGCGCCAGGGGGTCGGAGCGGATGAGGTACCTGTGGGGGTGGGGAGAGCCCTGGACACTGTCCTCCGCCCGGGCCGGGGTGGGGCGCCGTGCGGTCCGCTCGTGGGGGGACGCAGGACTCACACGATGTCGTTGGGCTCCAGCCTCGTGTCGGGCGGGGGGTTGATAAGGACGTAGGAGAGCGTGTTCTGGTGGTCATTCATCTCGTCTGCAAAGGACACGGGCCCGTGGTGGTCACCGGTCTGCTGTGCCCTCCTCCACTCTGCCACACCCCACGAGCGGGGGGCTCTGGCCTGGCCCCAGGGTCTTCCTCGCCTTCCCGGGCGTCTTGCCTGCACCCCATGGGGCTGGCCCCGCCAGATGGGTACCTGCCGGGGCCCGGCATGGGCAGGGGTCTGCCACGAGGGCGTGGGCATGGGCTGACACCCACAGCCCCGGGCAGCCAGCAGCTCCAACGTGGCAGCCACGAGCACACCTGCTGCTTGCACAAACCTGCGTGGGCCCACATGTGCCCACACATGCGCACGCACACCTGACTCAGCCCTCCCGCTGGCCCCTCCCTACCAGGCTGACCACCCTCATCTCTCCTTCCCTTCTCTGCTTTGGACGTAGGTCCTGTTTCCCAAAGCCTGCTCCGTGGCGTCGGCCCACAGGCCCCTCCCCCAGCCCCTTTCCAGGGGGGGCCCCTTCAGAGCCCACAGGGACGGCCTGGTCTCTGGCGCACGGTGGGGACGCAGCCCGTGGTGGGGAAAACGGGTTCTGGAGAAGCAGCAGTTCCACCACAGATGTCCCCCTGGCCACGCACAGGGCTGCCAGAGGCCCTGTGCTCACTGGCAGAGAAAAGAATGGCTCGTGACCTCAGTTTACCCATCGGCAATGTCAGAAGGCATCTCCTGACCCAGGGCGGCCATCAAGGGGATGGCACTCCAGAGGGGTCTAGCTCTGGTGGCCTGTACCCCCAGCTCTTGTCATTTCCTTCTCCTTGCACCATCCCCTGTCGGCAGGACTGTACCGGCCAGGCCCCCGAGGAAGGGATTCTCTGCAAAGCTGGAGAAGCGGCCCGTGGGCCGGCCGGGCTGGGGGTCGAGCTGTGCCAGTCGACTCCACACCGCAGCCACGGGCCGGGCACAGCGGCTTCCCTGGAGGCAGGCGGGGGCACGGGCTAGGCCCTGGGGGGCCAGCGAACATGCTCAGACTTTTGGGCCATCCCTTGGCGCCGCCAGCCTCTGCGTCCACTCCAGGAACAGCTGCCTGGTGACCACAGCTCTCTGCTCTTTCCACGGCTCGTGTTGGGGCCCTTTGGTGGAAGCTGCCGGCCGTCGAGCAGGGGGGCTCAATTGGTGGCCATGTGGGACAGCACACCTCCCAGCCCCAGGCCCCCCGAGTGTCTCCGGGGTGGGCCTTGTGGCGCGTGTAGGGGTGCCGCGGGAGGAGAGGGAGGTGGGTCTTATTGACCCCCAATCACAGGTACCAGCGGAGCGGCCACGCTGAGACGGACGCTGGGGCAGCACACAGAAAGTGGGGGGTGGTGCTGGGGTCAGAGCCACCAGCTGGTCCCCCAGGGCACACGGGCCGCCCCTCCATGGCTGGGCAGCCATCCTCACGCGCCGGCACCTGCCTCATGGGGCCCTCCCCACCCAGCCTGGGCCCCTGCGTCTCCCCGGGACGACCAGGGTGTTCCTGATCACCAACAGCTTAGGACTGGACCAAGCCAGGCCCACCTTTGTGCACCTGGGGATGCTGGGCCGTGAGGTGGGCGGGTAGGCTATGGGGGCCCAGCCGAAGCACCAGGGGTGGGGGCTGCTTGGTCACGAGCCACTGACCCCAGTTTTCCCAGGACAGGTGAGCTCTACTGTGACCACCATGTTCAGGTGGGGGCAGGGGGCTGATGATGGCCCTCCTGGCAAATGGCCAAAGGAGCTGTCACCTTACCCTGCGCCCCACCCCCGCAGTCCTACTGCCCCAGGCCTTCCCGCACCCCTGCAGACCAGGTGCTTCCATGCCACTCGTCCTCCCCGCCCCACACCGGGGTCTGCGCTCTCTGCCCCCCCAGCCCCGCACCTAACCGAGTCTCAGCCACCTGCCTCACGGGTGGCAGCGAGCAGGGGTGAGGGCATGCACACGCACCCTCGAGAGGGCTGCCTGCGGAGGATGCCCTCCCCTGGGGGCCTGGCTAAGGCGCTTCCCTCTCCTCTGCTCCCGGCCTCAGGCACTTCCCAACACCCACATCGGGAGGCACTCAGCCTCGGTGGGAAGCAGGAGTGGCCGGGCGCAGGGAGGGGGCTGGGAGCAGGGAGGGGGCCACGCTGCCTCCCTGTTCATGGAAGCTGCCGGACTTGGATCCGTGCTGGCCCCATGGGTCTTCCATGAACACCAACCCCGCTTGCAAGGAAAAGCGCAAGAACCCAGGAGAGGCCGAGGCCTTCCCAGCACGGGCCCTGACGGGCCAGCGCCCCACTGAGGTTTCCATTCCGGGGCCTGGATCTGCCCCAGACAGCTCCCGGCTCAGCTCTGGACGGAGGGGCTGCCCCAAGGGGCCTGGGCAGGTGCACTCTGAGCTTTCTCTAGGGCTGCAAAGAGCTGCCCAGGAAGGAAGGGGCCTGGCGGCAGCTCTGGAAGGCTGCTGGGTGTCTTCTTAGAAGAAACCTGACTCCAGATGAGAGAAGGGAGTACAGACAGGCTCTGTCTTGGCCGGAAACGGAGACCCCCTCTTGGAGCTCCTGCCAGTTCACCTGACACAGGCGGCCCACAAAAGCCCAGGGCAGAGCAGACCCCAATTTCCCTGTTGGCGGCCCAGGCCTCGCCGCGCTCCCCCGTGTGTGTGCGTGTGTGCACACGGGGGACCCAGGCCCGGAACCATCCGCCTGGATGGCTTCCCTGGAGGTGGGTGGGCTGAGAACACACGGGAGCAAGACTGTGGCACAGCCCGAGGGTGGCGCGGTGACTGCCAGGGCCCTGCGCAGGGGCGGCCTGGGAGCACGGGGGCCCTGCCTGCACAGCCCCTCTTCTGCCTACTCTCCTGTCCGCCTGCCTGGCTGGGGCGGCCCGTCGGCACAGCTGGCATGCCCCCTCGTGTGGCAGCCGGACTCGGCCGGAGCAGAATTACCTTGCAAATATCCCAGGTTTACCCGATTCATGACATCACTGGCCGTTAAATTTGCTACATCCTCTACGGAGCACACAGCGAGGGGGCAGACAGAAACAGAGAGAGAGAGAGGTCAGCAAGCAGCGCGGTGGCCGGCGCAGCGGGGGACAGCCAGCTGCACGTGGGAGGCCGTGCACTCGGGGACCGGCCAGCGCCAGCCGCTGGGGAAGCAGGTCCGCCACCACGATGTGGCTTCCTTCTCTGCCAAGCTCTGGGGAGGGCAGGGGGTGCAGAGGTTAAGGGAATGTGGGACAGGTGCCAGTCCCGGGGGCAGTGGGCAGAGTCTCTGCTGACCCTGGCCGTGGGGCCCGGTGCGCACCGTCTTGAGGGCAGAGACGTGGAGGGGAACAGAGGTGGAGCATGCAGCTGCCGCATGGTGGGGGCAGGGCCGGCCTCAGACTCTAGCCCTCTGGTCCCACCTGGAGGGGGCACTAGGACCCCCGAGCCAGGCACACGCAGGACGCAGGCTGCTGAGAGCCCGTGTCCGCAGGGGACAGCCAAGCCTGAGCCCTAGGCAGAGGCCCCGAGACGGAACCCCACGCCCGCCAGAGACTCGACCCAGTGCAGGGTGTGGGTGCCGACGGGCAGCAGCGGGAACAGAGGCAGCACGTCCGGAGCGGGCGTGGGAAAGAGCGTCTCTCCTCTGGGTCTGCTCTTGGCCAAGGTCATGAACTTTCCTCCAAAATAAGCTCCACAGAAAAGGGGGCTGCCAGGGTCTGGGGAGCAGCCACAAGCAGCGGAAGCAGGGCCCATGTCTCAGGAGCAGCTGTGGGGCCCCACGTCCATGGTGTCCACGGCTCCAGCTGCCCCCTGACGGGCCCCGGATGCTCTGGCTGCTGGGAAGGCTGGGGAAGGGGTGGCAGGGGACTGTGGGGTCTCCCTGCCACATTTCTCCACGGGAACACAGTGCACCCTGCATTTCTGACCCCAGAGGTGCCTCACTGAACCCACACGAGGACTGTGGCCTTGGCTTTGGGGGAGCCCTGCCTGGCCTGGCCCATCCCCCCCGGCCACGGCTCCCATGAGTTCCACACGCTGGGCTCAGTCAGCTTGATCTAGTCCTGTTTTACAGATGCGGAGACTGAGGCCCCAGAGTGGTGAGGGGGAGCCCTCCCTGCGGGGCTCAGGGCCAGTTCCGGGGGGATCCTGTGTCCTGGCACCAGAGGGGCTCCAAGGGGCTGCGTGGGCGTGGCGGGCAGCGCAGAGGCCCTGGGCGGAGGCGACCCCGGGGCACCTGGGTCAAGCGCCGTGTCTGTCCCAGCCCCGTGGTGGGCGGTGGTGCCCGGGCTCTTACCGTAGCCGGTGGTGGGCAGCCCCAGGTGCTTCATGCGGTTCTTGACCAGCTCGGAGAGCTCCTGGCGCTCGGAGCGGCCGTACAGGCTGAGCCTCTGCTGGCCGGCCCACTCGGCCGCCGCTGCCTTCCCCGCTGGCTTGGAGCCCCTGTGGCTCAGCTTCCTGGCCCACGGCAGGCTCTTGCGCCGCAGCAGCGGGTGCTCGGCTGGGTCCCCGCCGACCGGGTGCCGGCCGTGGGTGCTGCCGCCGCCGCCCGCCTGCACGCCCCAGGGCCCCCTGGTTTCCTGCGTGTCCTGGCAATCCTCCACGCTCACCGAGATCTGGGACTGGCCGAGGCGGGAGGGTGAGGGGAGGGGAGCCCAGCCTTCTGCTGGGGGACCCCAGGCCCCAGGGGCACGAGTGCCTTCTTCCTCCAGCCCAAGCCGCCAGCCTCCAGGTCTGTCCACGTTTGCCTGGGGAATGAGGGTGGCTCCTGCCCACCTCTTGGGGTCCTCCCACCTGGACCCAGCCAGTCCTGATTTTGCCACAGAGGGCCACCCCTCTGTGAGCCTCAATCTCCCCGTCTCGGAGAGTGGAGAGCAGGAGAGCAGGGACGGGGAGTGTGGTCGATGGGAGAGTGACAGCAGCTCAGCAGGTGAATGGGAACCTGGGAGGCGTGGGGAGACTCCTGCCTGGGCAGCAGCCCTGAGAGGCTGGGGGCATGGAGGTCGGGTCAGAACAGCAAGGAGGGGACCACTCGCTATGACGGGGGCCATAGCAGGACACACACAGAACACATGGGGCCGGAGGAGCCTGGTTCCTCAGGGGCCTTCTTGGAGCTGTGCCAAGGTCAACCCATCCTGGGGATGCACCCCCGACCCTGCTGTCGCCCTGTGTCCCCCAGGCTTGGGTCGGGGGCACACCTTCATGGGAGGCTCACGGGGCCACTCACCTGGGCTCTGAGGTCGTGGGGCTGCAAAGGAAACCAGAGACAGCCTGGGTGCCTGGGGGCGCCTCTGCCCCCGGCCCCAGACACTGCCTGAGCCCTCATGGGCTCGGGACCTGCATGGCAGGCTGCCCACTGTGGCTCCCTCATTCTCAAGCTCCCCGGCTCCATGTCGGAGTCCCAGCCGCCCAACCCCACGTGGGGGCACATGAGCCTGACCCCAGGAGGGCCGCAAGCCAAGGCCTGGATCCCAGGACTGAAACACGGCAGCGACACGAAATTCACAGGAAGCCTATGGGCCGCCGGTGCACGAGCCCACCCTCGGGAGCCCCTCGCCCGAACCTCGGAGGTCGAGAAGACGTGGCACTCGGTGCGGTAGATACCGATGGGGATCTCGGCGCTGGAGGAGCACAGCTTCTGGAAGAGCCGGCCGTACGTGCGGATCCACAGGTCGTCCTCCGTGACCCGCATCTAGAGCGAGCGCGGCCCTGAGAGGGGGCCGGCCGCGCGCACCCCCACAACGGCCAACCCACCCAGCCGGCCCCGTCACTCACGGCGCAGAGGTAGCCGGAGCCCGGCGTGGTGTCGAGGCCCAGCAGCAGCCTGGTGATGGAGATCATGTAGTCCTTCACGAAGGACTGGCCAGAGAGGGAGGCTGTGGTGAGGCGGGGGCACCCCGGGGACAGGCCGGGTCCCTTCCCGTGCCCGCTGGGTGCCCACAGTCCCCTGCTGGGAAGCCTGACTCGGCCTCAGGGGTCAGAGACCCAGAGGCCGCCGGAAACAGAGCCCAGGGCGGTGTCTTTCTGGGAGGAAGAGGATGGAGACACCAGGGGGGGCCCGGGAAGGGATGCTTCAAACGCGGCTTGGTCGGCTGGAGGTGGAGAGGCGGCTTGGGCTGCGGCGGCCCCCACCCCCGCCCCCGCCCCCGCTGACCTGGTAGAGCAGGGTGTCCAGCATGCTGATGCTGAAGACGCGGCCCGCGGCAAACGGCAGGCGGAACATGAAGGCCAGGTTGGAGCCGTTCTCCCGCTCCCTCTGCGGGAAAGGGGGGCTCAGGTGGGCGCTCAGGCTGCGGCGGCGTGGGGGCTGCAGGGAGTGTGCGCACTGGCAGACGGCTGAGCTTGGCCCCAGCACCCACCTAGTGCCCCCTGACCCCAGACGCACCCGGGGCCAGAGCTCAGGAGGGGGACCTGCCCAGTCCCATGGGACCCCCCACGCTTGCTTTCAGGCACGGCTCTCGCCATCCCCAAATTCGAAATAATCTCCATCACTTTATCTTCAAGCCCGGGTAAGTGAAGTTGGGTGGGACGGTGGACAGGAAACCACGGAAGTGCGTGCACTGTTCTGCCTCCCCGTTCCCCCGCGGCGCCCACCGTGCTCCGTGAGCGCCGAGTTCCAGGGACCCGCCGCAGAGGTTTCCGTGGCTGCGGGACGCATCGCCACAGCCTCGCGGCGGGAACACAGAGCCACCCTTGCCCAGCTCCGGGCATCGGGAGCCCAGTGTGGATTTCACAGGGTGGAATGAAGGCGCCAGCGGGGCGGTGCTCCTTCCCGCAGCTCTGGGGACAGTCTTTTCCTCCTGCTTCGTTTCTAGAAGCTGACCGCGTTGCCCGGCTCGTGGCTCACTCCTGCCCCACAGCCAGCAGTGCACCTGCTGACCACTGGTCCCCTGCCTCCGGCCTGGCAGGTCCCCGGGGAGGACAGTGGGCCCCCAGGGGACCCTCTCCTGTCTACAGGGTCCCTTGACTGCGCACCACACTGCTTCTAGGCCCTAGCGAGTCGGATGTGGACGTCTTCGGGGCCGTTTCCCCCCAGCACCCAAGATTCGTCTGCAACTGATGGCCGAGAGGCCTCCTTTCTCATGGGACCAGACCTGCTTCAAAGGCGGGAGGCAGGCAGGGGACACAGAAGACCCAGGGGCCGCCTAGAGGCCTTTCCTGCCCGAGGGCAGCGGGGTGTGGCATCGGGGTGTGAAGTCGTGGGGTGGGTTCTGGTGGCATTTGCCAGGTCAAGTGCACCCTGTCTGGGCGCAGGTCTGCAGGCCCAAGTCCCCTGAGAGTGTCTGCGTCCCATGGGTGTGCGGTGGAGCCCGGCTGCCTTCCTGTCCAAGTGGCACCAGGGAACCGAGGAGGAACCAGGTTCGCGGGGCCTTTGCAGGGGCAGCTGAGGCGATGTCCCCGGCGCTTGAACACGGGGGCCCATGACCTCAGGCTGCAGGGGACCCTGCAGATTCCGGCGCTGGCGCCTCAGGGACCCTCCTGCAGGCGGAGCGGGGGCGGGAGGTGGGACCGGGTCAGCAGCCCCTTGGCAGACAAGCGGCCAGAATGGGGTGGGGGATCCCCACCGCTTTGTCCCACCCTCCCTGGCTGTCCTCCTGCCAGGTCCTCTCTTCACACGGCTCTGTGGCCGGCAGACACCAGGGCAACGTGGGTCGCCGTTTCAAAAAAAACGTCTCCTTCATCATCTCTGCTTCAGGTAGAAGACGCGCACACTTTTACAAAAATAAACTGCCCTTAATTCTTCAAAAGACGAGCCCGGCCGCTCCTGGGGGAGACGTCGCCACCTGGCCATCTGCTGAGCCATCAGAGCTGGGGCGTGCCTGGGTGCAGAGACCGTGGGGGACCCCAGGCCAAGTCTAGCTGGCGTGTCAGAAGACAAGGCCTCCGTGGCCTCCAGGCCCGGGACTTACGGTGGGTGGACATCGGCTCCAACCATCTGAGGGAAGGTGACGACCCGTAGCTCTGGCGACCCCCCACCGTCTCCGCGGCCCAGGACCCCCAGCCCGCATCAGCCTGGAGGAGCCCAGGCTGTTTCTCAAGGTAGCGTCCTGGGGTCACACGTGCAGATGTCCTCCCTTCTGTCCGGGCCCAGACCACACAGCCCCACGATGGGGTTCGTCGTCCTGAGCTGGGCAGGGGGTGTACCAGCCACGGGAAGTGAGGCTGCACGGGGGCCGGCAGGGGACGTCAGCACAGAAGGAAGGGGAGCGGGAGTGCAGGCTACCTCGAAACCCACCTCCTCGAACAGTCTGTGCGGAAGGCCTCTTAGGGACTGCGTGTGCTCTGGGGAGCGGGCAGCGAGGGACCAGCCGCTGGAGCCCGACCCCGTGCCGGTCACCCCCATCCCTGCTCGGGTCAGACCAGAATTCCTAGATCGCAAGACTCTGGCTCAATCCTGAGCAGCATCTGGACGGAGGCCGGTGGGCTCCCGCCGTTCCAGGCGCGGACGCTCTGTCCCCAGGCTGCCGCGAGGGTCTCAGGCGCACGGCAGAGCGCACTCCAGAGAGGGCCTGGCCGGGCCGGGTGCTGAGCAGGAGCCCCTGTGTGTCCTCCAAGGGGCTGGAGGCCCCCTGCCCGGCGTCCCTCCGGCACACGTGGCGCCGGGTCCTCATGGGCCTCGTGACCTGCCCCTGGGTTCCTTCCACCGTCTGCCCACATCAGGGTGAAGCTCTAGTGCTTGTCCCTTCTATCTGGGGTTGACGGCCTGGCCTTGCTTGGGTGGACAGCCGCCGAGGCTCCCTGCTCCTGCCCTCACCCTTGCTGCGGAGTGGCGCCCCCTGCGGCCTGAGCAGGGACGATATCACCAGGGCCTGTGTCCCCCGTGGCCCATCCCTGTGCCCCAGAGCACCACACCAACGCCAGCCAGCGGATGTCCCTCCTGGAGCCCCGTGAAGCCCACAGGGGATTCCCACCCCGCCTCCCCGCCACTGTGTGGCCCTGGGCAACTTCCTCCCCTCTCTGACCCCCACTCCTTTGTGTGCACCTGCCCACTGGTGGAGACCCATCACGTTTCCGGTTTGGGCCCAGTACGTGGGGCGTGGGAAATTAGTCGGCGTCCCCACGTCGTGCTGATATTTATGGACGTGGCGGGCAGCCTCAGCCCCAGGCACAGCCAGGCCTGGACCTGGCCGTCAGGGGGACCAGGCTCCCTAAAGGCTCTGGGCGACACAGGAGCCTCACACGGGAGCTGAGTCCCCATCTCGGGCCCCCTTTGGCCAGAGGAGAGCAGGGGCCTCGGCCTTCCATGGCTCCCGAGCCCCAAGAGCCCCCCGGCCCACTCCCTCCGGGCTCAGGGGCCTGACAGCTCAGCACGTGGGGCGCGGGAGGTCCGGTGCGGCTGCTCACCTTTTCCAGCTTGGAAAGAGCCAGAGAGTAGCTGTCCTTAGCACGGAACTGCATGAAGCGCATGTTGGAAGGGTGGGTGAGCTCCGTGGTGATGCTCAAGCTGGGGAACAGCCTGCGGGGCAGCGGGGTCAGGGCGGGGTCTGCGATGGCGGACGGGGCGGCGGGGGCTCGGGACGGGTCCTCTGGCCGCGGACAGGGTAGCGGGGGCTCGGGGGGGGGTCCCGTGGTCACAGCGGCAGCAGTGGGCCGGGCTCCTGGATAGCTGGGGGGCTGGTTCTGGACCCAGCCTGGCCCTGCTGCGGCCGCCCCGGGAGCAAGCCCCGGCCTCTCACCGGAACATGGTCTGCACGTTGACGATGGTCTTGGCGTCCGCCATGTAGTCCTCCTCAGCGCTCATGGTGCTCTCCTTGTCCACCACCACCAGGTTGTCCGCGTAGATGATACCACACTGCAGCAGGCTGTCCAGGCTGGGGTGGGGGAGGGGGGGACAGGCCACGTGGCCGGGGGCCCCCAGGGCCAGGTCAGGCGACCTGGGAGCTCCCTCTGGGTGCAACTTACCCCCCTCCCCTGCACCTCCTGGGCTCCTCACACCTGGGGAGGAGTCTCTGGGGGAGGGGCAGGACAGGGAGGGGCTAGGTAGGGAGCCGGCGAGGCGGATGTCCCTTACTTGTCCACGGAGCCCTCCATGTAGTATACCATGGGGAAGCAGCAGATGGCCTCCAGGAAGTGGTGGTCAGGCCTGTGGGGACAGCAGGTCCCATGGGTGCCCGCCCTGCTCTGCTGCTCGCCCCCTGTGCCCAGCTTGGGCCCTGCCCTGAGTGAGCAGGGCTGGATGGAGCAGGGGTCCCCAAAACCACGGCACATCAGACCTGGGGGCCTTTACAGAACCACGCGGCTGTTCTTTGTTTTGCCTGAGGGAGAACCACGGCCCTGGTGTGGGAGGGGGACTGGCTCGGGTCAGACCCCAGGCTCGGGGGGTCGAGGTGCTGGGGCTGGGCAAGGGCCCCCCGGGGATTCATAGTGAGGGACAGGAGAAACCGTGCAGGAAGAAGAAGGGTGCTCCTGAGCACCAGGGGGACCGGGGACATAGGGGGCCTCTGCAAGCGGGTGTGGGGGTGCGCGGCGGGTCTCACTTGTTGTCCAGCAGCAGCACGATGGGGTTGAGCTCCCGGCGGGATCTGTAGTAGGCTCTCAGCGGCACGATGAAGTTGTACAGCCCGTTGCCCGCCGTCTCCGCCGACACGATGATCAGCTTGTTCTTGAAGCCGTAGGCCTTGGCGTCCTCGTAGCTGTTGTGTTTGCAGCCCTGCGGAGAGCCCGGGGCCGACCTCAGCCTTGGGACCGAGACTGTCGCTTACTGTGCCAGCGAAACCCGGGTTCACCGGGAAGCGGCGAGATTCCATCCGGAACAAGCCATGGGCCAGTTCTGAGAAGAGCAGGCCTGCTGGGCTTTGGAGAAGGGGTGAGTGGGGAGGGGCTCTTCTGAGCTGAAAGTCCACTGGGGGCGGGTGTGGTGGCCTCTCACTGGCTGCCCCGTGGCTAGCCCGTCCCCTCCCTGTGGCTCTGCCCTCGACAGCGGCCGTGAGGAGCTCCCTCTGCCCACCTCCTGACTGTCTCTGTGGGGCTTCCCCTTACTGACTTTCACACGGCATTGGCCACCGTGGCGACGCCAGGCTTCTAAGGGACCCCTTGCCGAAGGGCACCACAGGCACCTGGTGGCCAGCTGCTGGCCCTGGCCCCTTTGTGGCCTGCAGCGGCCCCATGGGAGCCACACGCCCCAGCAGACCTGTTCACCCTGCCTGCGGCGGCTCCGTGTATGACCGCCCTGGGGCAGAGCTGCGGCGAGAGGGGATGGTGCCGTGGGACCCCCACGTCCAGGAGGGCAGGGAGGCACTGTACGAACCTGCATCTCAGCAGATGCAGAAAGGAAATCTGTGTCGTGTGTGTGCCTGTGTGTACACATGTGTGTCACGCGTGCACAGGTGTCCAGCACACACGCACGCATGTGTATATGGCACGCGTGCTGTGCACATGTATGCACATGCATGTGCGCACACACGCGTACGATGCATGTGTGCTCACGCCATGCCACGCGTGTCACATGTGCACATGTGTGTTGTATGTGCATGCCACGTGTGTACAACACGTGTGCACATGTGTCACGCGTGTACATCCGTGTATGCACATGTTCCAGCTCCATCCACTGAGGCCCAGATGCAGTGACACCCTAGGAGCTGTGAGCACGCCTGTACCCAGAACTTGGTGTCACCCCCATTTTGCACGGAGAGACGCGGGGCTCCCTGGGGGAGTGGCCCCAGGACAGGAGCAGGGCAGGGATGCTGTGGAAGCATTCCGGGGACAACAGGGACACAGTCTCGCCCCAACGTGCCCGAATGGCTTCCCCCCGCAAAACAGGAAAGTCTGAGCCCCGAAATCAGTAACAATTGGCCACAAATGGCAGCGCCACAGGAGTAAGCGTGGGGATAGCCCTGAACCAAAGAGGAATCAGAGGCCGCACTGTGCGAACCAGTAAGCGCAGAAGCCGACATGCTTCCTCGCGGCTGAACGCTTAAAAACGGGTACGAGGGGATCCGGGCTGAGACACCTGGGCGAGGACAGACCTTCCATGTCTCCCCACAAATGACTCACTAGCCACAAAGGCAGAAGCAGAGGAACCTGGGTGAGCCACGTGATCCACACCAGCACCCCAGGGCTGCAGCACACGAACGTCTCATGCCTGTGAGCACACTGTCACCTTCGGAGATCGGGCCCCAGGTGCACAGGCACAGTCTTCTCACAAGAAAGCTCTCAGACCCATCCCCCCATCCGAGGCAGGTGCCACCAAACCACTGTCCATGCCTCCAGACGCCAGGGCTGAGAGCCACGTGAGAAGGGTCGGGACAGGTGCGTGCACCGCGAATGTGGATGGGTCCTCGCGGCAAACCTGCTGCATGAAGGGCAGCGAGGGCTGCGGGACAAGGGGGCACTCGAGGTAGCTGGTGGACCCGACAGGGGCGCTGAGGGACGTCCTGGTTCTCAGAAAGCACACGAGGGGGTGCAGGGGGAAGGGGCTCCACCTGCTCCCAGGGGGTGTGGGTAAAACCCGCATGTCTATGGAGGCCGAGAGCAAACGCAGTGAGTCTGGGCAAAAGCCCAGGATCTCCTTCTCGTCTTGAAGCTTTTTCTACAAGTTCACGGTTACCCTGAAAGGCCAAGTCCCGTGGAGCGTGGGGGGCCACCCACCTTGTCCAGCCGCAGGCAGCAGAACGGGGCCTTCACGGGCAGAAGGTGGCACAAGGTGGGGGAGCTGCCGATGTAGGGCGAGTTGGGGGGGTAGCCCTTCACGTACCTGGCGTGGGAGACAGGAGTCGCCCTGTCCGGGTGGGCCTGGGGGCTCTGGCTCTACCCCTGCAGCCCCACCCCAGCCCAGGCCTGCACCCTCCAGCGCAGCAGGGCTGTGCCCCCAGTGGCCACACGGAGGCGCCAGACCCCGCGGACACCACCCCCTCCTCGTTGGGACTGCGTGTGGGAGGAGGAGGGCTGGGCCCCGACCACGGGGTCCGAGATGAGAAGTCACACAGCACGCACACGAACACACAACTCAGGGACACACACGAGCTCACACAGAGCCCGCGATCACGGGCATAACCCGAGGCTCGTGCCCTCCCTGAAGCTGCCAGCACCCCAGCCCGTGGGGGCCGACGCTGGCCCTCGGCCCGTCTGCCGGCTGCCTGGGGGCTGGGCTGGTCTCCCCACCAGCACCCAGTGCACCCCACAAGGAGGCGGCCACAGCCGGGCCTTGAGCAGCATGGGGGAGGGGACGGCCTTCTGCTCTGTCTCCAGCTGGCTTCAGGGACACGGCCTTGGCAGCCAGCCACGCCACCAGGGCTGGATGGCGCCTCCCCAAGGGCTCCTCTACCCGTGACTTCGATAGACGATGCTCAGAGGACAGCCTCCCCCTCTGAGCAAGCCTGGCCCGCAGGTGTGGCAGCCCGCGGTACGAGGTGGAGGGGAGACAGGACAGGAGGCACAGCCCGGCTTTCATTCCGTTTGCCAAACGAGGTCTCCCATGAAGCCCTGACTCAGCCCACGGCGACTTCACCCTCCCTCCCTGCTGGCGGCAGCCCCAAGGCCCGTGTCTGCCCCTCACTCCTGCCCCCATTGGAAGCTTCTGTCTGGGTGCATGGGCACTCACTCCACCACCGACAGCCCCTCGTCCTCTGACGGCGTCATCTCGTCCTCCGACGGGTCACTCAGCAGGTCGCAGGGCAGCAGAGCTGAGCTGTCTGTCGGGCGCTCCAGGACCGGTGCGATGCTGGGCCGCCGGCTGCCGGAGCCGTTCTCTGTGGGCAGCGCGAGCTTGCTGCCCCCGCCGCTCTGTGCGGGCCGGCACTCTGTGTTCTGGAGGTCCATGGCCACTGTCCCTGGAGCAGAGCGGCTGACCTTGGCTGGCCGTCCCTCTCTGGGCTCTGCTGGGGGCGGCTGGTTCGTAGATCGGAGGTGGGACCGCTGGTGCAGGGCGGCCTCCCCCCCCCCCCCCCCCCCCCCCCCCCCCCGTCCCAGGGCGGACACTGGGACGCCAGCGCCCCCGAGGGCCCTGCGGGGCGGGGGGGACCGACGGGAACACGAGGCGCGGGGCGGGGACTCACCCATGGAGGCCACGATGCTGTGCATGGGCAGGCGGGAGGAGCCGTCGTACAGCCCCTGCGCCGGGAAGCCCTTCTTCTTCTGCTTCTCCTCCTGCTTGAAGATGAAGGCGGAGTTCTCCTCCTTGGTGATGTTGATGTAGAAGCAGGTGTCGGACGCCGCCAGCGTGTGCCGCGGCCCGGGGTTCAGCAGGATGCTCTTGTCCTCGCGCTTCAGCCCGATGAGGCACACGCCATACCTGCGCGGGGCGCGTCTTGCAGCGTCCGGCGGCCGCTGCTGGCAACGCCGCGGCCCCGCCCCTCCCCTCGGCGCCCCGCCCCCCCCCCCGGCGCCCCGCCCCCCCCCTCGGCGCCCCGCCCCTCCCCTCGGCGCCCCGCCCCTCCCCTCGGCGCCCCGCCCCCGAGACCACGCCCCCGACCACCCCGCCCCGCCCCCCGCCCCCCGCCCTGGCCCGCGGGCCCCCGTCCCCGTCCGCGGCCCCGCCTCCGGTCCCCTTTCTTGGCCCCCGCCCCTCGGCGCCCCGCCCCCTCCCGCGGCCCCGCCCCCTCCCGCGGGCGCGTACTTCTTGTGCGCGTGGAAGGCGGCGTAGGTGAAGCTCTTGCCCTCGTACTCGCGGAAGAACTTGCTGTCCCCCATGCGCACGTGGTACACCTCGTTGCCCGAGCAGCGTCCGTACATGCGCTGCCACTGCTCGGGGGACTCCTGGCCCTCCCTGCGGGGCGGCCGCCAGTCAGCTGCCCCCGGGGCGGCGCACACCGCCCCCCACACCCAACCGCCGCCCTGCCCTGAGGGCGGAGCCCAGCAGGCCCCGCCCGGACGGCCCCGCCCCCGCCCCGCCCCGCCTGCCCGGCCGCGCACTCACTGGCCGCGGGACGTGTGCACCAGCAGCGTGATGAGCGTGGACGTGGCGGGACAGATGCAGTTGAGGGCCAGCATGGCGTACTTGCACTCCTCCTCGCACACCACGTGGTCTGCGGCGGGACGGGGCAGGTGGCCGCCCGGGCCTCGCCGTCCCACAGCGGGCGCCCCGGCCCGGCCCGCGCCCTTCCCCGGGCGCCGCTTGCCCTCCCAGCATCGGAGCCCGACTCCCAGCTTGAGGACCGCTCCAGGGCCGGGGGTCCGCTCGCCCCCTCCCACCGGGAGCCCAGCTGGAGCGCGACCACAGAGATGCCTCTCGGAGGTCCCACGGACACTTGGGCCCGCGTGCCCGACGGTCACCTCCCACGGGGACGCCTGCGTGGGCTTCACCGCGTCCCACAGCCCCCGGATAGGCTCTGTGAGCTCGCGGGTGCTCCAGCCCTTCCCACGCCCCACGTGGGCACACACCCGGCCCCACGCACCTGCGAACTTGACGTGGAACTTGTTCTCTGGCTTGAGAATCTGGACGTAGAGGGGACAGTTGGGCGCAAAGTCCTTCACGGCCCAGGCTCGCAGGATGGTCTGGTGGTCCTGGGGGAGGGGAGGCGGGGTCAGTGCTGAGGGGCGCAGGGGCGCAGGGGCCCAGGGGAGGGTCTCTGACCTCAGGTGTCCCTCTGCTCGGCCTGGGGCTGGTGGGCCAGCGGCACTCACCGCTGCCGTGCGATCCACTTCGTTGCGGCTGCTAAGGATAAAGCAGGCCTCCCCGTTGTCCATCCTGCAAAGCACCAGGTCTGAGCGCTGCCTGGACCGTCCACGCTCCTGTCTCAGACGTCAGGGGCTCAGAGGCTGGAAGGGCTGGGCCCCGTCGGACCCCACCTCGCTCTGGGCTGATGGGCTGGCGTCAGGGCTCAGACCAGCTCGCAGGGGGCCCATCCTCTATGACCCTATTAAGCCAGGGCCGGGCTGGGGCGCAGAATGGGGGAGAGCATGTGGTGATGAAGAGGCTGGACCCTTGTCCACTTGCTGGTCTGTGGCTCCCAAGGGACTTGGATGGTCTGTTCTGCTCTCCTCTCTCCCACCCCTGAGAGCCCCTGGCTGCAGCAGGGGCACCGGGGAAGTGCGCACACCCCAGGGCAGGGAGGCCGCTCCGTCCCCAACACGCTGCCCTGCACCCCACCCACCCTGGCTCATCACTTGTCCCTGCCAGGGCTCTGCCTCTCCCTGCCCCTTGGCCTGGAGCTGGGTGCTGGGTCACAGGAGACGCTGGGTCCCCTGGCCACGGCCATCTCCATGCTGGAGTCCTTCCTAAAACGTTACAGGTGGGAAGGGGGACCCAGGGCTCAGGAGGTGGGCAGGGGGGTGCCCTGGCTATCCGGTCTACTGCTTCCCCTTGGCCCGTACACCCCACACTCCATCACGGGATGAGTAGAGGTCCCTGGAATGGAGATACAGCGTCTTATGAAGATAAGACAGTCCCTGGGCTATCCTGCAACGGGCAGTGGCACATTCTGGAAGTTCCATCTGACAGCTTCGTCTTCTTACCTCAAGTCACTCTGGCAGCTTGCTTTTTTTTTTTTTTTAAAGATTGTATTTGTCAGAGAGAGCACAAGAACACAAGCAGGGGGAGCGGCAGGCAGAGGGAGAAGCAGGCTCCTCGCTGAGCAGGGAGCCCGCTATGGGGCTCGATCCCAGCACTCTGGGATCACCACCCGATGCTCAACGGACTGAGCCGCCCAGGCATCCCACAGCTTGTCTTTAAAAGAAACCTTACCCACGGCCCCCGTCTTCCCACCCTGACCCCACCTGGAGCCGTTCCCGGAACCTGACTGCATCTCCCATCCCGGAGCAGGGAAGAGTGGGAGCCCTGGCAGGATGACCCTTGGGCATGGGAGGACAGGTGGGCTGGGCAAGCCCTGGTGCTCCAAGGTGGGGTCCATGTGGGGCCTGGCTGGCCTGGGCGGGCAGCGGGCCCGGAGCCTGAGTGGGAGCCGCTGGCTGCCCCGATGACCCTCCCCACTCGGCCCCTCCCTCACCCACTCACTTGGCTCGCATGAGGTCCTGGTCTTTGAGAGCGGAGCCCTGGAGGTAGATGACCCGCTGGGACCACAGGGGGATTTGCAGGACCCTGCGGACCTGGATGTCCATCTCGGTGGGGCACAGGATAACCACGTAATAGTCCTGTGGGAGGCGGGGTCAGTCCCACCCGGGTGCAGCGGGCCCATCCGCGGGGTGGCTGGTGCAGACAGCGGGGATCGGAGGCCGCAGCCCTCACCTGCAGCCGGGGGTGCGCGTAGAACTCGTTGAGGAAGTCCATGAGCAGGTCGACCTTGAGGGAGCTGACACACAGCACCACATGCTTCTCCGTTTGCGCCCGGTGGCGGCTGTAGTTCCCGCCCGACTTCTGGCGCTCCATCCACAGGTAGACCAGCTCCTCAAACTGCGGGGGGAGAGCGCCGCGTCCCAGGGGGCCCGGCTCGGGGGCCCTGCAGGGAAAGGGCGCTCCCCCATGGGAGCTGCACACACAGACCCCTTCCCTGACAGCACAGGCCCCCTGGGGGGCAGCGGGGGCCGGGGGGAATGGACGCCCTGCTTTCTGGCCCCCGGAGCCACGGCGACAGTGATGCAATGCCCAAGTGCACGCTCCCGACATGGGGGTGATGAGAACCTGGGGTCGCCATGGGCCCCTAAGATCCCTTTGGAGAAGCCTGCGGGTAGCAGGAAACTCAGGCACAGGGCCGAAATCCAGACCTTAGTAAGGAAGAGACTCTTCCCTCCCATGGGGACTCGCCCACCCCGCCCACGCCTCAGGGACCCCAGCCTCGCACCCACCCCATGTGAGTCCTTCTGAATTAGGAAGGAGAGGGAGGGGTACAAGTGGCTCAGGGAGGGGAGCAGGGCTCCACGGACCCGTGGGGTGCGGGCGGCCTCCTTCTCCGGCAGTTTCCCCGCTATCTCCGGGGCCTGAGATTCAACACCCCTGCCTTCGGCGGCTGCCCTCCGGTGTGCTCACCCCTGCTGGGCGGCCCGCTAGTATCCCGCCGAGATGGGATCATTTCACTGAGTTTATGGTGCACCTGCTAGGTTCTGGGGACAAGACCCCGTGACCCTGAAGCATAGGACTGGCTCCGAGGCTGGAGGGGGACACCTGTGTAGGGTGAGGGCTGCGTGCATGGACTCCAGGCCTCAGCCTCCCCCTCTGTAAGATGGCATGATGGTGTCTGCCTCCCGGGGCCAAGAGGCAGCTAAGTGACCTGAGTTAGGTTCGACCGTGTCCCCTAAGATTCACGCCCACTCGGAACCTCCCCGTGGGATCTTCCGTGGAAACACGGTCTTTGCAGGTGAGATTAGTTAAGGTGAGGTCAGACAGGATTGGAGTGGTCCTCCTCCAATGTCTGGGGCCCCTAAAAGGAGGTCAGTGGGCACAGAGACACATAAGGAGGAGGCACGTGAGGCCGGGAGCAGGGATGGGAGGGATGGAGCCACGAGCTGGGGGAGCCCAGGGATCCCTGTGGCCCCAGAAGCAGGAAGGGTGTGAAAGGGAGCCTCCCTCGGGGTGTCCAGCAGGAGCTCACCCTGCTGTCACCCTGGACTCAGATGCGGATCCCCAGACAGGGTCAGGATGTCTCTGCCGTGTGAAGCCTGTGCGCCACGCGGTCAGTGGTGGCCGCTGGCTTTGCTCTTGTCCGCGGGAGCTAACCGAGCAGCAGCGGACTTGAGCAGAAGGACACGGGGAGAAAACGGGGACCACCCCTTTCCACCTTCCACAAGGGGGCAGGCATCTGCTTTGGCACCGAGCTCAGACGCATCCTTGCTCCTGAGGCCCCAGCCCCGCCTCCTCCAACAGACCGTCTGCTCCAACTGACCGCGGTCCCCCACTGAGAACACTGCCCCTGGCTCCTCGACCCCCCGCAGGCGGTGGCCTCACCAGCCCCAGACCCGCCATGGCTCCTGCAGGGCCGGAGGTGAAGGGCTCGCCCCCTCCTGTCCCACACGGGTCTCTGGCACTCCTCCTTCCGGAGCTGGGGGTGGGGTGTGGGTAGGGGGCGCGAGGGGGGTGGGGGGTGCAGACCAGGTGCGAACCTGCAGCGGCAGCACCACCAGCGCCACGCAGATCATGACGACCACGAGCAGCTGGGATGGCCAGATCTTGGGCGTCACGTCGCCGTAGCCCACGGTGGAGAAGGTGACGATGCAGAAGTAGAAGGCCGTGAGCAGGGATAGGTTCTCACCTGCTCGCTCCAGGTGCTGGATGCCACAGGTCCTGGGGATCCGGGCGGTCAGAGGGCCATGAGCGGGGCCGTGGCCACCTCACAGCTCCCTGGGTGCCCCATCACTGGCCGGGGGACCCCCCCACCCACATGTAGTCCTGAGTCTGGCTCAGTCCCTGTAGGCTCTGGGTGCTCCCCCCACCACCCCACCAACGGTCTGCCAGAGCCTGCACAACCCCGCCTGTTGGATTCCCCCAGACATTCCCTTTCTGGCCCACGGCTCTTTTGAGGCCCCTGGAAAACGCACCCCGAAGTTCATGCACTGGCTGAATGTGGGCCTGGGGGCCCTTGGGGGTGGGCGTGCCCCAGCTGTGAGCCCCCACACGCCACCTCACCCAGGAGGTCGGATGGGGTGCGGGGATTGTCCAGCCCCTCCTGGGCCCAGCTGGACAGCCCTGCTTCCCGTGCCTGTGACCACAAGGCCCAGTCCCCAGATGGAAGGTGCTGCTGGCAGGGCCTGGGGAGCCCATAGCACCCACCATGGGGTGCTCAGCACAGAGAGGGGCTCAGAGACCGTCCCCCAGGGGGACAGGCATAGGGAGAGTACAGGTTGAGCCCCCAGCTCTGCTGGACTGTGTGTGTGTGTGGGGGGGGGGGGGGGGGGGTGCAGCCAGGAAGCCTGTGGCCCTCCTTCTCTCTTTCCCAGGCCTTGGTGCCTGTCCTGCATCCTTGCCCGAGGCACAGGAGGTGGTGACCAGCTTCACCAGCACCGGGCTGGGCGCATCCCCGGCCTCCTCCTAGAGGAGCTGGACTCAGGCCCCCGCCGGCTGCGAGTGTGGGCTCTGAGCCACCCCCCGGCCCTGGGCCGGACTGCCAACGGCCCCCTCGAGGACTCCCTGACCTCCTGGACACGCAGGCGAGGGTGGCGGACCCCTGCAGGGCGCACTCACCCCGTGAACACCAGGCACAGCAGGGTGCAGAACAGGATGAGCACTTGGTTGAACATGGCCGACTGCGTGCGCAGGATGGCGCGGTGGAAGTCGTTCTGTGGGACGCCGGCCGGTCAGGGCCACAGCCTGGGACCTGCCCTGGAGCTGGGGCCCTTCCTGCCGGGCATCCCAGGGCTCGGGAGCGAGCGAGGGGGTGTGTCGGCGGCCCGGGTCCCCCTGCGGGACACCTGCTCTCGGCGGCCCCTCACGTCCCCCGCAGTGGGGGGCTACCGGGGGCACAGACCGGAAGGGCCGGCTTCAGTGAGGATGGGGGTGAGCCCTGGGGGGGACGGCCGCCCCGGGGGGAGCCCGTGTCCCGCTACCGGCTGACCACTCGGGAAAGGGGTTTTGGCCAGACCCTCGACAGTCTGTCCGTGGGTCTGGGTCACGTGGGCCCAGTCCGCATGGCCGGTTGGCTCCCGCCCCTCCTCCTGCAGCTGCAGGCAAAGCGTGGGGCTGGACCTCAGCTGCAGCAGGAGGCCACCGTGGGTCCTGGTGGGGACAGAAACAGGAGGGCCGAGACGGGCCTTCTGCCGTGACAGAGGTGGCACGCTGCTGAGCCTCAGCTTGGCCTCCTGGGCACGGAGGGACGGTGGCCAGCTCCCTGCCGGGCCAGGGGCGTCCTGGGGGGCTCACACCCGGGGAGGCTGGCCACTGCATGGCCCTCAGCTTACGATCATGTTTTCCAGGGCGTGCTTGGCCAGCCAGCAGTTCAGAAACACGGGGATGAACAGGTTCCTCAGGGGCGCCCAGAATATCTGTGGAGGAGACGGGTCAGGGGGCTGGCGCTGGGGGGCCCCCCCGCTCGGCCGGGGCTCACCCACCGTCACGATGAAGGGCAGCGTGTTGATCATCTCCAGGACAAAAGAGACGTGGAAGATCTGCTCCCAGATGTTCCCCTGGGCGCCGTGGTGGCAGAAGAGAGACACAAACCAGCCAGGAGGTCAGGAAACGGGGTGGGGGGGACAAGCCGGCCAGGAGTGGGGTGGGGGGTCAGAGGGGAGGGTCAGGCGAGGTGGGGGCACTCACTTTGTAGCTGAGGTAAATGAGGAGCATTGTCTCCAGGAAGCTTATTATGGCCACGATGACCTAGGAGGGGCGGAGCCTGAGTGGGGCTGGGGGGAGCGGGGCCCACCCGGAGCCACGCCCCCCACTCACCTGAATCGCCCACAGAGTCATCTTTCTTTCCACCCAAAGGATGGGCGCCCTGGGGAGGGAGGGAGGTGAGCCTTGGGCTGTTGTCCCCCAACCCCCTGGGCCTCTGGTGACCTGAGCTGCTCCTTGGGAGGATGGAGGGCACCAGCCTTGCCCCCGGAGGGGACAAGAACAGGAGGGGAAGGAGAGGCTCCCCAGGAGAGGAGGCCAGGCCTGAAGCAGGGGACGTGGGTCAGGGCTGCAGGCTCAGGGGGCCCTTCACCCTGGACAGGCTCACTGGGGCTCACTGAGCCCGGGGCTCCCTTCCTCCCCTGCTCCGGGGGGTACAGCCCAGTGGGGGAGGGGACAAACTGAGTGAGCGGGAGGCCAGAAGCCCCTCTACCCAGGAGGTGGCCGAGCCCTGGGGGACGCATCCTAAACTCTGAACCAGGCATCAGGGTCGCTCTGGGGCCATGGCTCTCCTTGGGTGAAGGTGCCACACGGGGGAGCAGCCCCGACTCATTCAGGACCCTCCCTGCTGCTGCCCCCCACCCCGTCGCCGCCTGCGGGCTGAGCTGGAGTGGGGGCTGCTGAGTCAAGTCACATGGTGGTGCCTCTAAGTCTAACGCTGCCCCCGAGGCTTAGGGGCTCTCCAGGGGCACCCCGGTGCCGCCCAGCTCACGGGCCAAGGCCACGCACCAGCCGAGGGGCTGGGCCAGGGGACTCACCAGTTGATCTCCGAGGATGAGCTGTTGAAGGTGTAATTCTGCTTTGGGCAGCCCCAGCTGTGGAGAGAGAGAGCTGGCCCAGCTGAGGCCCTGAAGACTGCTTCCCAAGGTTGCCGCAGGCGCGGGAGCATGCCATGGGGCCGCCCTCCGCACCCCACCCAGGGCCCGTGGACCCCCAGGCCGGCGGGTGGGAAAGCACACCGCGCCGGGACAGGGACGGCGGAGCCCAGGGAAGAGCTGGGGCTTCGGCCTGGTCTGACAGGAGGGTGCTGGGGAGGGTCGGAGATGGAGCGTGGAAGCTCCCGGAGTCTGGAGCTGCCACGCACATGGCAGGACGATGCGTGAGAGACGGGGGACAGACAGCGAGCTCCCACCCTGAGGTGCTGACTCCAAGACTGCACGTCTCTGGGTCGCTCCCAGGAACAAAGCTCTCCACGGCAGCTGGATGCCCAGCCCCTGGGGAGGGCGAGGGGCATGGCGGGCCTGCTCATTCTGCCCCAGGATGTAACCAACGCCAGGGGCCCCACCGAGGGGACCTCGCTCTCACAGAGCCCCATGGTGACAGGCAGCTCCCTCCTCCTTTTCTTCCAACTGACCCTCTTTCCCTGAGCCTTTCTGGGGCTAATGTTGCAAACTCAGCGCTCATAGATGCAGCTGGCTGTCGGCCACCCGCCCACCCCCACCACCACCCATCTACCCTCCATCCATCCACCCAGCCACCCAACCGTCATCCACCATCCACCATCCGTCTAACCACCATCCCTCCATCTACTCTCTGTAATTCACTCATCCATCTATTCATCCATCCAACCGCCACACACTCGTTCATAACTCATCCATCCACCCCCCTACCCACCAGTCCCCCCATCCCTCCACCGGCCCCTCCTCCATCCCTTTGCCCTCCCCCACCGCCCAGCCACGTGCTGGGCATTGGACAATGAATATAATAGACCTGGGCCCTGTAGGGTTGTGGAACCAGATGCCTCAGGGTACGCTGGGGATGGGAGAAGGTGACATGGACTCAGGAAAGCGGTTTGAGAGTCAGAGCCCTCAGTTTTCTCCTCAAACCCCCACAGCCAGATCTGTGCAGCCCCCCGGGGTGAAGGCAGGAGGGGTTCCCAGGGAGCTGAAAGAGTGTGTGGCTTGGGGACACCAGGCCCGGGGCAGACAGGGGTGAAGGGCAGCTTGCCCTGTCCTTGGGTCCCAGCTTCCTCCCTGGCTCGGCCTGGGAGCCTGGTGGCCGCGCCCTACCCTCGGGGAAGAGGCAGGAAGACCGGCTCTGCGGAGGGAGCCCGTCCACCCGGAGACAGTGCTGAGCCCTCCCAACCCGGCTCTGCGGCCCTCGCGTGGGGCTGCGGACACTCACTTAGCGCAAGCTCGGAAGAAGCAGAGACCGAGCCAAAGAGAAAACCGCAAGCAAGAGCCCGGTTCCAGACGCCACCTCGGGAGAAGCGGGAAAGCTGCGCCTGCCCAAAGCAAGGGGAGCTCCGGGAATCAGGGCCCGATGCGGGAAGACGGGCCGGGCTGGAGACAAAGCTCAGAAAGTCGCCCCGGAGGAGACGCGGGGGACACAGGATCGTCCAGAGCTGCACGCCCGGGCGTCGGAAGCCCAGGGACGGCGGAGGAGGGGAAGGATGTCCTCTTCCAGGGCCCTGTCCCCCAGTCCCGCGTGGGAGAGGAGGGGCCACCTGAGGTGTCCCTGAGACTGCCAGGCGCAGAGACAGGATTCCGCCAGCCGGCCGGCGAGAAAAGCGGGCGTCCCCCAAGGGCGACCAGCAGAACCCGAAGCAGCAAGGCCACGCAGGGCATCCGTGAGCCTGCGTGACAGCCCAGACCTGGGGGGGCGGCGGGTGCCCCCTGCCAGGGACAGGGGCCCAGGAGGGGTCATGGCACCACGTGCAGCCCCGGGCTGGCTTGTGTCCTGCCCCCTCCCCGGCCGAAGCCGGCACCGAGCCGCTGGCCGAGCCCCTCCCGTGCTCCGCTGGAGGCACAGCCGGCCACCGTCCACGGCCGGGGCGCCCTTGTCCCTGGGCTGAGCGTTGGTCAGCAGGACCCTGAGTGAGGACACAGGGAAGCAGGGGTCCCCGAGGGGCCGATCTGGGCTGGACACCGGCGCACACCCCACGCAGACCCCCACGGCCTCGGCCCTGGACAGCGGCCGTCCCCGCGTCACCCACCATCCGATCCCCAGGGCCGGGTCGTCGAGGAGCACGCGGACAATGTACAGCAAGCAGGTGAGCAGCTTCAGCGAGAAGTTGAACAGCCGGATCCTCAGGCCTGCGGGGGAGGGGCCGTCAGGGCTCCGGCACCACGGAGTCCCAGTGACGGTCACTGCCGACAGCTCCCCGCCCCCCGGGTCCCTGGGAGCCCCTGGGCTGGGCTGCCCCAGCGACTGAGGGACCGCTCTGCGTGGTTGGGCGCCGCTACTGTCCTGCCCTACAGATGGGGGTGCAGACAGCTCCCCGGGCCACCCGCTCCCTGGGACGGCAGGATGGGAGTCTCGGGGGCACAGGGACGGGTGAGGCCCTAGGGGTCCCGCCACCATCCTGTGTGCCAGGAAGAGCCCGAGGCAGCCAAGCTCCTGCGGGGGAAGCAGCTGAGGGAACCTATGGGGGAGGTGGGGTTGCACAGAGGGGAGCAGGGAAGCTTGCAGGGGGCGGGTAGGAGGGCCCCGAGTCCAGCCCAGTGTCCAGCAGTCCCCACAATTCTCTAGGGCCTAATGCTGAGACCAGGGGCCTTCCCACCCTGCCCTGCACCCACCACTCACTGACATAGCCCCTCCTCCGCCCCAAGCCCCTGCCCTGCACAGGCCCCCTGGCTCAGTGACATCTCCCTCCTGCCCCCCAACACTGCTGCCCCCGCAGGCCCTGCCCCCCGCCCCTGCTCACTGGATCTCTGGTTTTTGATGAAGAACAGCTTCAGGCGCTCCTTGAAGGTGTTCTCGTTGACGTAGAACTCCACCTGGACCCTGGGGGCGGGGAGAGGGCCATGGGGGGCTCTGGCCAGCGGGGGCTCCCCCGGGGCTGGACCAGCTACCCCTGCACTTCAGGAGCTGGGCAGACAGACGGACAGAGGGTGTAGCAGGACAAGGAGGGCCCCCCCCCGCAGTGATCCATGCACCTGTGTGGTACTGGCAGACCTGCCCGCCCCACCCTTGCAAAGCCAGTGGGCAGAGCGGGGGCCGCTCAGCAGCCACTGCTTCCCACCAGGGCCCTTCAGGCCCTGAGGGTGAACACCCACAGGCCCCAGCCTTGACTGTCACAGGCAGCCTTTCACCCGGGTTAAATGCACCCTGTGTGGCCTTCAGCACGGGCTCAAAACATGCCAGCTCAGCTATGCAGAACGTTCTGGAAGCTGATCGTTGTTCTGTCTGATGGCCCCTGGTGGCTGCGGCCTGAGACTTGCTGCAGCCTGCAGGATGGTCACGCAGAGGGGCCGGGAGACGTGACCTCCCCTGCAGCCAGCACAGGGCCCCTCCAGCCCCGGCTGCCCTCGCTCCCTCTGGCTCGCCGACGCCCACAGGCTCCCAGTCCTGCTCAGGCTCCCAGCGTCCTGGGTTGGACCTCAGCAGAGCCAGCACGTCAGTGAGGGAGTCTCTGTGGGGAAGGGCCATTTGGTCCCCCACGGTGACACAGGGCCTGGGGCAATGGGCCTCTGGCCGCCACAGCTTTGGCCTCACACTGGGGACCCCCGGAGCCGCTCTGCCCCGTTCGCTGGCCTGGCGGGGGTTCAGGGTCCCCCGGCATAGAAACTCCAGTGATGACAGCCAGCAGGACAGGCGGGCGTGGTCCTGGGACCAGGGATCCCACGACAGGCAGCCTGTCCTCCTGCCGGCCTCCCGGCCACCGCCCACCAGGGCAGGGGCTCCGTCACGTGGCGGGGGGGCTGTGAACCGAGGCCCCGGGCACCCCCCCTGCCGGGGCAGAATTTAGCCCTGCTCTCACTCTGACAGGGGCAGGGTTGTTGGGCCTGGGCGGCTGCCGCATCTCCAGGAAGCGTCTGCAGCCGCCCTCTTTCCCCAAATGCTGCTCTGGGCAGAGTACACGCGACATAGACGCGGAGGCCGTCTGCGCCGGCCCTGGTCGTGGGCCCTTGGGAGGGGCCTCGGACTGGGCGCCCGCACCTCCCTGCCCTGCTCTGGGCTGGGGGCCTCGGCCCCGGCCACTGTGGCCTCTGCCAGTCACAGGGCTCAAGAAGGGCCCCAAAGGAGACAGGGGTGGTGTGGGCCCCTCTCCTCTCTTGCGTCTGGTGCAGGGGGTCACCCAGCCACAACCTGGACTCCTGGAGTCGAGCAGCAGGAAGAAGCTTCCACAGACCAGTGCGCTCCGACCTCAGAGCCAGTGGCCAGCGCACTTGGTACCCCAGCATGAGCCCTAAACCCCCGACACGCCCTCTGTTCCCCAGCACACGCCCTGAACTCTGACACGCCCTCTGTACCCCAGCACATGCCCCGTACTCTACTGGACCCCAGCACAGGCTCCTTTCCTCTCTCCCCTTGGAGCGCTGCCCCCTGCTCTCTGGGCTTCCTTCAGAGCCCCTGAATCCCGTCTTCCCCTGTAGGTGTCACCTGGAGCTGGGTTGGGGACCTCCAACAGTCTCTCTGGGGAGTTGGTCAGACAAGCCCGGTGGGGCTTGTGCCCGGTCTGGTCACATCAGGAGGACAGATATGACTCAGTAAGCCTGAGGGTTTTCCCAGGGCCCCAGAGCACCCAGCTCAGGAACACACCCTCCCCGCCACTCTGGCCCCGTCCCAGCGAATCCTCGACATGGGTCTCCCGACACCACCTGTGCCGTCCACTCTGCCTTGTCCCCGGCCAGCAAGGCCCTGCCTGCCCTCGGGCACTGGTAGCCGTTGGGCACCTTCCTCCTCAGCTTCCCAGGGCACCGACGACGCTGCCCTCCTACCCCCACCCGCTCTGGTCCCCTCCCTCTCCCCCGGACTCCTTGGCCATCCCACATCCCAGCTCTGAATGTGTGATGCCCCAGGGCTGGTCGCCGGTGCCTCTCGACGCCCACCTGACCAGCTTGTGCAAGGTGACTTCGAAACCCCCGCTCTCCTCCGAGCCCCCCGCTGCCCTCCAGCATCGCCCCTTGGGGTGTTGCTCCCTAAACCAGCAGGACCAGCCCCTCCCCAGGCCAGAAGTGGCTTCCTCCCCCTCGTCAGACCTCAGATCCACCTCCTCCCGGGGCCACCCTCTATGTGGCTGAGTGCCCCTGTTCTACTTCCTTCCAGGGGTCCCAGCACTTCTGCCTCCCTTGCCTGTTCCTTCTGGAAGTCTGGACACCAGCAGGTGAGACAAAGGGCAGGAGGCTAGAGTCCCTAGGTCCTTCCCGCTCTCTCTGTCGGGAAAACCCAGGGGGCCTCCAGCTCCTTCCCTGGCACCCCGACCCTAACCCCACCCGGCTCCCGGCCCCTGCTTCCCACCAGCCCCTTATTGCGCGGGAGCTTTTCCCGATCGTCCCCCACTGCCCGGGCCCGCGGGGTCAGGACTGCCACCCTGGGGCTTGTTGGGCCCTAGACACCGTCGCTTCCCTCCCCTGCTCCTGAGAAGTGGAACCCTAGTCACTCCTTGGCCGGCCCTTGTCCCCTTGTGGGGCAGCTGCAGACACCCATCAGGACAGCCCCCAAGGCGGTCGGTGGCCAGCAGCCAGCGGCCTGTGGATGGAGGCGAAAAAGGCTGGCGGACGTGGCCACGTGGACCGAGCCTGCAGGGCCGGGGAGCACAGGAAGCCGCCTGAGCTTTTAATTTTTCATGAGCTGCGGCTGCCCACTTCTAGCCCCGACACAAGAGTGAGCTCCGAGCTGTCCATACCCCGAGGTACAGGTGGTGATGACCATGACGAGGCCCAGGGGGCGCGGGTGGATACAGGAGGAAACGCCTTCCCAGCCGCCCGGCCCCGAGCCCCCGGTGCACCCCAGGCTGGGCCCGGCTGAAGGACGCGCTCTGGGCTCGGCGAGCTGACGGGAAGAAGCGAGGGGCCCCGGGACCACAGACAGTCTGGCCCTCCTGAGGCCTCTTTGCTGTCCGGCTGCTCCGCGGCCCCCGCACCTGCCTGAGCCCCGGCCTCCTCATCTGGGGAAGAACAGTGACAGGACCCTCTGCCACATCATCTCGAGGGAGCCAGGCCTGGGCTGTTACCTGCCCTCTCTGGGTCTCAGGCTGCTTCCTGGGAAATCTGGCAAAGCGTTCATCCCCGGATGGAGGATTAAGTGACTGATGGCCCCTGTGCACGGCCTGGGGCTTGGCACCCCCTGTCCCCCGGCTCGGACTGATTCGGGGGCCCACAGTGGCCCGCTCTGGATCTCACACTGCCCCAGAGAGATGGGCCCTGGGCCATAAGTCCGCATGTGTGGCTGCAGATGGGGCGTGGCCGATGCCACACGTGGGCAGGGTTGTGACCCTGGCTGGGGCCACCCCCTCCCCTGATGGCTGGTTCCGCTGTGGCTCAAGGCCCTGGGATGGGGCTGGTGACCGAGCTCCCAGGAAGCCGCCCATGGGAGAGCTGGGAGAGGGGCCCTGGGAACCCACACACAGTGCGGTGGTCTTGGGGCCGGTGTCAGCCCTCAGTGGCCAGCAAACTCTGCCTGGACACCACAGGCTGGGGCGAACCAAGAGGTCGACCCTTTCTACGCATCCGTTCTCGGCAGGAGCCTGGAGGGGAGGACTGGGCGCGCCCAAGGCCCCTGCTTCCTGCTGCCAGGGGCCCAGGAAGAAGGTTGGAGGCAGGGGTGTCCCTCAGGCTTGCCGCGAGTGGGCCTGGTCTGGGGCCCAGAGGCTGCGGGGAGCCTGAGGCTCAGACAGCTGGGGTCGGGCCACCAGCCCCGAGGACCAGATGGGCTAAACGTGGCCCCATCCCTGGGACAGTCCTCAGTCCTCAGAGGTGAGTGGCTCTCAGGCTGGTGAGGACAGGGGTCCAGGCCGAGCACACAGAAGGGCCATCTCGCTGAATCCTGCCGTGGGGCCCTCAGAGGCTCCCAGCCACACTCATCCCTGCATGCACGGAGAGGAAGGTCTCACAAGGCCCGAGACTGGCCAGGATCATCCAGCGGGTCACAGGCGTTGGGGCCTCTGGGATCCCCATGAGACCAGGGCCTCGTGAATGTTTGGGGTGGAGAGTCAGTCCCCAGCCGGCTCTGCCCCATCCCCAGCCAGCTTGTGTTTGAGGGAGGCCCACCGCCCTCCTGGGCCCCACGGTCTCGCCCACGCTGGAGTGGACCCATGCAGCCCCCCTTGTGCCGGCAAAACAACTCAAACTTCCCTCACCTCATGCCAGGACAGGACCCACCAGGCAAAGGTGGCTGTCCAGTGGCGAGGTGGGCAGGGGGAGGCTGGGCGAGGGTAGGCGGGGGGCCGTCCATCTCCCCGCTGCCCAGTGGGCTGCCGGGTGAACTGACAGGCAGGCTCTGGGAAACCCTGGCAGGCGGCTCCTGCATGGATGGCCTGTGCCGGGAAGCTCCAGAGGCAGGCCCTGCCGTCAGCCAGAGGGGAGGGTGGCCGGACACTAAGCCCGTGGCCACAGAGCTGTGCCCTCCCGTGGGGCCGAGATCCCACTGCCCACTTCCCTTGGTTCGCCGCCGTGTGCTGCCGGCTCCACTGGCAGGTGCCCGGGAGCTCCCTCCACACCGGAACCCGCGGACGGACGGGCAAGAGACAGGCCAGGGCCCAGGCCTACCCGCCAAGCCTGACGCCAGCTACTCTGAGCAAGGGCAGGGCCAGTGAGCAGCCCAGGGGCCCAGTGCAGGACAGACGTGGGGCTGGCGGCTTCCCCGTGCCCCAGCTCTTCCTGAGGCCTGTGGGCGCGGAGCCGGGCGTGGAGGCACTGAGCACTGGCCGGGGTGCCTGCGGGGCGGCGGGGCACCGGGGGGGGGTGGCGTGGGCACGAAGGCTGCTTTGTCCCCGCCACTCCCAGCCCCCAGCCTGCAGACCCGCCTGTGGAGGGCGGGTGGCCACATCCTTCCCGTGCCCCGACCCTCACCGGAGCTGAAAGCTCTCCTCTAGCGCCTGCCCGCGGCCAGGGACCGACTGCCAGGGACGTCCCCTGGGTGGGCAACCTGGAGGAGCAGAGGAGCCGGGGGAAGGGGGAGAGGGGGGTGGACAGTGGCTTCTCAAAACAGCAGAGGAGCCCAGCCTGGGGCTTCCGGGTAGGGTGGTCCCACCTGGGGCCTGCTGCGTGCATGTCGGGGAGGGCCCGGTGTGGGTGCCCTCGGCTGGGCAGGGGCCTGGGAGAGCCTCTGTGGGCCTCCATGGCCCGGGGCATCTGCTCTACCGGGTAGGACTTGTAGCCTCGGCCCCTCGGGGGGCTGCACACGGTCCACATCCCCCGGGCAGCCTGGGGTGCCCCAGAGAGCCCTGAGGGCAATGGACCCCCCCGGCCTCCTGGCTCCCACACTCCAGACTGGAGAATCCCAGCCCCAAGCCTCAGGCTGCAGGGAGAGCATGGGCAGCAGAAGCACCGAGGGAGGACGACCGTGTGAATGGATGAAGTCAGGCTCCACTTGGTGGCCACACCGAACGCCAAGGGCCTGGGCAGGATGTGGCCACTCTGAGGATGATGTAGGTCTCCCCGGCCTCAAAGCCACCCTCCACCTGACCTAGATCGGAGCTGAGCCCAGGAACAGCCTCGTGCCCTGGGGCCCCTGGACCGGCGCACATGGCCCAGGCTGGGTGAGGCAGGAGGGTCCCAGCAGTCGTCTACGTGCCTGTCCTCATCCAGGCAGAGGCTGGGGGTCCCCGCTTCTGGAGCCCCGTTTCCCACGGCAGGGCTCCGCCCGGGGGACTCAGCCCACGCTCCAGCCCTCAGGCCCACATCTCCTGTTGGTGCGAGGAGGGGGTGGCCGGTGCCGCCTCGTGCCTGCTCCTGCCTGGCGTCCCCCCCACCCCGCCAGAGTTGGCAGGGCCCGAGCCCCCGCCTCCCCAGGGCCGCCGTGGGTGCCAGGACAACTGCCCGTCCCCGCGGGCGACCCTGCAAGCACTTACTGAGACAGAGAGGACTCCAGGCTGAAGTCTTCCACGTGAAGCCTGGGGACAGACACAGGCGCTCACATCAACACGGAAGACAGATGGACGGAGGGCCTGGACTCCTGGACTAGGCGGGTCACGGATAGTCAAGGAGGCGCTGGGCAGGGCCCGAGGGAAGCGGGGCGAACCCATGGGCACACACCCCTCCCCGACCCACGGAGCCCCCAGGCGGCAGAGGGGCCCACAGGAGGCAGCCTGCCTCGGGGCAGTGACCGTGCCCGGAGACCTCAGTGCCCTGGAAAGCAGCACAGCGCAGACGGCAGCCGGCACATGCGTCCCCTGCCAGGCCATACCCCACCCAAGGCCAAGGCCAAGGCCACCCGCCTTCAGCCCAGGAACTAGGAAAGGATCAGCCCATTTGGTGAGCGCTCACTGTCCCTGCTCCTGCCATGCCTGCCCCAGGCACCACACCCCTGGCTCCAGGGAAAGGCACTGTTAGCCCCACTTTCCACCTGGGAAGCCGACTTGGCAAGGGCCAGTTCCCACACAAGACGCGACAATCAGGGCTCCCTTGTCTCAAGTCCACCCACCTCCTCTCTGCTCCCGTGCTCTCTGTGGGCCACAGAGCCCATGAGCCCTGCACCCTGACCTCCCAGAGAGAGGACAGGCTGAGGCTGGGTGCTGATGCTTCTTAGGGGGTACCCAGGTGTACCCCCTCCACTGACCAACCACCACACGGCGGCTGCCCTTTGGGCCGCCTGCCCAAGGGTTCTGCCAGCCTGGCCACACGCAGCTAACCTCAAGATGGCTGGGCCTGGGCTGGAGGGGAGGCCGGTGGGAGCTATGGGGCTCTGGGGACTGGCCCCTGGGGGGCTGGTGGGGGTCTGTGTGTGTGCCGAAAGTCTACTCTTCTCTGATGATGTGCTCTTAATCCTCAAAGCAGCCACGTTCCAGAAGAGGAAGCATGGGTTCAGAGAGGACCACTTCTTCCCCAAGGCCACAGGCAGGAGGAAGGAGCCGGCCTGTAGGGCTGGGGCAGTCCCTAGCCATGGGCTGGGCCGCAGGCACTCGCCCACCTGTTCCCTGTGGGTGGGCAGGCTCCCCTCCCAGTGCCCAACCCGCAGCTCCCAGTGCTGGGGTGGGCAAGGTGGGGCCGCAGGACGCTCTGGGAACAAGGTCTGGACGGGGTGTGCGGAGCGGCTGGGCCCCCAGTGGAGCAGTGGGAGCCAGGGCTGCACCGGGCCTCAGTTTGGAGTCACCGGGTGCTTCTGGCAAAGTCTACATGTTTGTCCCGCTCAGGTTCCCTTTCGTAGGCCCTGGCACTGCCCCAAGCCCCGAGCTGGGGTGACAGCTGTCCCAGGAGTCTGGCAGTGCTATGGCCATGGTGGTGGAGCCAGGAATTCACGGAGAGTGGGTGCAGGGCCCTGGGGGAGTGGTGTGGAGGGTCGAGGTTCCTGGAGGAGCATGGGGGCCACAGGAAGGGGAGGAGAACGAGTGGACCTGTGGGGGAGGGAGCTCTGCCTGCCGCTCTTGGACTGAGACAGGCAGGTTTGGGGTCAGGGCAAACACGTGGGGTCCTGGTAAGAACAGCAGGAAAGCAGGACCACACTGGAACCCTGAGGACCCCCAGATGTGGCCGCGACGCTCGACGCTCGGTGCTTGGAGCACCTGGCGGGCCTGCGCGAGAGCGCAGAGTAAAAGGAGTTTCCCGCAGTCCTTGCTCCCCTTGCCTCCTCAGCCCCAATTCACAGATGCTCCCGGGGTCCTGCATGCAGGGATGGGCCCTGCCCCTCCAGGCCCCTCCTCAGTGGTCAGAGACGCAGCGGGGAGGGACAGACTGCGCCCAGGGGCCGCTCAATGCCGCCCCCACCTGGGCTCACGGGGATGCTAACCCAGCCCGGGCGCCGGCCGCCACCTGTTCCGGCCCCGCCCCCGTCAAGCCCCGCCCACCAGACCCACCTCCTGGCCCGCCCCCACACCGCCGGCCCCGCCTCCCCCGAGGGCCTTGGCGCGGAGCCCCTGGCGGGCAGCTGGAGTTCCCCTCCACTCCCTAAACCCTGCCTGTCAGCCCAGCTCAGAGAGACCCCGCCCCAGGATGTCCCTTCCCCTGAACTACCAATGGCGGGGCACAGAGAGCGGCACGGCCAAGTGCACGACTCCTCCGCCCAGGCCCTCCGGCTCCCCCTCCTCCTTGGGGACCCCTCTTCCTCTCTTTCTGCCCTGCGGACACCCTGGCCTCCACCTGCCGCCTCACACCGGGCCTGACTTCCATTCTGGCCTCTGACCTTCTGCTCCTCCCCTCCCCTCAGAGCACCCACACCCACAAGCGGGTCCCCGCTGGCCAGCCTGGCTCCTGCCCCTGGAGTTCTCCTGGCTGTGCTTCCAGGTGCCCCAGACTCAGCTGTCCACGGGGCGCCCCTCACACCTCGCCCCACTCCCCACAACTCCCACAGCCCCGGACTCTCCCTCCTAGATCTGTAGCCCTTCCCTGCTCACTGGTGCTGCCATCGCGCCTTCCAGGCTGCTCAGCCAGGGTCCCCTCCAAGGATACACCAGTGACCTCTCCTTTGGTGCAGAACCCAAACCCTGGGGGAGGGGGTTCCCAGTAATCAGGCCTATCATCTCCCGCCCTGTCTGTCCAGGTCAGCATGCCTGACCTGCCATAGCACCTGGGAAGAACAAGGCCACCCAGTCCTGGGGTTGTTGGGGGCACAAGGGGGCCCCAGAGCAGCGCTGACGCCTGTGGAGGGCTCACTGGGCCCCTTGCTCAGAAGCTCTTGAATGACGGCTGCATCACTCCGACCCCCAGATCCCAATTTCTAACCATTGTCCCCCTCCCACACCTGGCCTCACAAGGCACAGGGGAGGCAAGGGACAGAGGAAAATGAAGACCCATGAGCACAGAGCCCAGGGAGCCTAGGCTGGGTGTGTGTTGGGGGGGAACCCATGCGGGCCCACAGCATCCCTGTGACTAGGGAGCACTGTGTTGGGAGTGGGTGGGTGAGGAGCTTGGGCATGGGACTGGGAGCAGGACTTCCCTGGGCCTCATTGCTGCCCCAGCACTGGTGAGGCATCCAGAAGGCTCTGGGCCACCCTGAGGAAGGCTCATGCTGCCAAGTGGCCCGGAGAGCTCTGGCCCTGGCTGGCCCCAGCGGGCAGCCAGGCATGCAGATGAGACCAGCCTCAGGAGCTGTGGCCCCTAGCTCCCTCTGACAAACGTCTCCAGCACCCTGGACCCTGGGTGTGCTGGGTGCTCGGTCACATCTGAGTGCCTAAGGAGATCTGCGAGTCCCGCTCCGCTCAGGAACCTGTTGTGGGTGCTCTCTGCTCCCGTCCGGAATGAACCTCATAGCATGTGTCTAAAGTCTGGGGGCATCAGGCAGCCGGGCTCCCAGCCCTGATCCTATGCAGCCTCGGAACGTGCCCTTCGCTCCGCGTGAGGAGGCTGATATGGGTCCTACACTCAGGGGCTGCTGGGGACAGAATGAGCCCCCCACGTAAGCACCAGCACGGAACTGGGGGCAGGAGAGTGCGGGCATGGGAGAGGGCTTCCTGGAGGAGGTGGCCTTGCCATCTCAGCTCCCGCTCTGCACTGCAGGCTCAGATGCAGCCTGGGCAGGACCTGCCATCTCCGCGTCCCTGCAGGAACAGGGACAGCAAGGGGAACCAATCTCCTCCAAGGGCTGGGCTGGCTGTAACCAGAGCCTCGAGAATCACTGCCCCCCACAGTGTCCAAGAAGCAATGGAGGGGAGAGAGCCGTCCCCAGGGCTTTGGCCAGCACTCACTTCCTGCCCACCCAGGCTGCCCATTAGCTGCCCGGAGCCTCTTAGACGCGCTTCGCCTCCATTCTTGACAGTCTGCTCCAGGGACTGGGAGTAACCACTGGGCAGCTCCAAGGAGCCGGAAATGGGGTGTGAGGGCAGGGAGGGGCCTGGACAGCCTGCAGCCCGGTGGGAGGGGCAAGGGAGAGACTCCCTAGGCACCCCCGATTCTGCCATCTGCCAGGCCAACTCCCTGCCAACCTCCGCCCTGACCTTAATGAGGCCTGGCACCCCCGCCCCTGGGCTTCCGCCCTGGCTGCTGGCTCAGCCTGGAGGGCCCCTGCCGACCTCCTGGAGTCCCCCCCCCCGAAGACCAGCAGCCCGGGGAGCCCCCGCTCTCCTCACCCCGGCCCAGCCTGCTCCTCTCTGCCAGACACAGGATTCCGTGCCCACGATGTGTGCCTACACCAGGGCGGGTCTGATTCATCTATGTTCCTCCCGCAGCATCTAGAAGGGCTCCTTGCACACAGAAGGTGCTGGCTAAGTACTAGTGCTAGCAGTCCAAGCCTCAGTGTCCTCATCCGTGAGATGGGGGTGCTGCGTGCCACCCTGCCCGTGAGATGGGGGAGCTGCGTGCCCCCCTGCCCGTGAGATGGGGGGTGCTGCATGCCCCCCTGCCCTCAGAGGAACCGGAGAAGGGCCTGTGATGCCCCCTCCCCAGGAGAGCCCCCTCCTCAGGAAACAGGCCTCCTGCACCCTAAGGGCCACTAGCTAGGGGCACTCATCCCCAGGGAACCTGAGACCTGACTATGTCCCAGCTCCAATCTGCTATGCAGCCTTTGGCCAGGCCCCCAACCTCCCTGGGCCTCATGCTGCCCGCCTCTGAAGTGGGGATGAGGACGCTGGCCCTGCCTCCCGACAAGAAGCCACTAGAACCAACAGGAGTGTGGGCTCAGTGGGCCAGAACAGAGCAGGGTCCCCGAGCCACCTGGCACTGTGTCTGGGTCCTCTCTTCCCTCTCCCTCCAGTTTACCTGCAGGCCCACCGTACCAGTTACTGAGAGCAGGAGGGAGTTGCGGGGGGAGGGGGGGGGAACCATAGGCTCCGAGCGCGCCTGGGTGAGGGTTCCCAGCCGGGAACCCAGTCATCGCCCCCCTCCCCGAGTCTGCAGGCAACGCGGCAGGTGCAGCCCAGCGGAGCCCTTACGAGATGCGAGCGGCAGAAGCAAAGCCCCTCCCGGCGGCTTGCGGGGTCCCCAGGCGCGCGCCCCTACCTCTGGCCCACGTCGCTGCCCACGGAGCCCCCGCCGTGGGCCGGCAGCAGCGGGCTGAGGCCGTGCGGCTCCTCCGGCGCCGAGGCGCCGGCTGGGGCGCCCCCCGGGCCCGCCTTGCCCTCGGACGGCGAGCGCGGCAGCTTGGCCCGCGCCATCCTGCGGGAGCGCACGGGCGGGAGGCGGCGGGGGCGGTGCTCCCATCTCCGTGCCCCGCCCCGCGCTCCCCGCGCCGCCGCCGCAGTGGATCGGCCCGGCCGGGCGGGCGGGGGGCGCCGAGAGGCGGGGGGCGGCCTTACGCGCGGGGGTGTCCCGGCGGGAGGGGTCTCGGCGCCCAGGGGCCAACGCCGCCTTGTAACGGAAGTAGTAGTAAGAATCACGACAGTCACGGTGGCGCTGGGGGAGGGGAGCAGTAGTGGCGCGGTGACAGCTGGTGGCTCTCGGCCACTCACCTCCGCAGGCAAGAGCGGCTGGAGCCCACGAGCTCGGTGCTCAGCCGTGTGCCCAAGTCCCAGGCGGCCTGCGGGTCCTGGGGACTCAGGCGGGGCTCTGGATGGCCTGCGGGAGCTGTGCCCACCTTCCAGGCCCCCCCAACCCATGCTGGCTCAGGTTGGGTGATCCCACTGCCGCCAGGTGGGACATGCCCGATCTGTCTGCCCATCCTCCCTCCATCCCACAGGGCCATCCGGTGTCCGTGGGGGCACTCTCCGAGCAGGGCCCGTATGCTAGGCTCAGCTCCGTGCCAGGCACAAGGGCCCTGCTTTGGACAAAGCAGCTGCTTCGTGGAGACCCGTCTGCACCAGATGCCCCGCTGGGGATGGCTCGGGTCACCCCGGCGACCGGGAAAACCCGGGAGACAGTGCAAGCTTCAGTTTTGTTAAGTGGGGAGATGAGGCATGGAGGTCAGAGGTAGGTTTCCCCAGGAGATGGAGGTGGGGAGAAACAGACAGAGGAGCCGGCAGGTGAGGCGGCTTGGCCGGGGAGCTGCCGGCAGGTGTGTATGGGTGCCGGGGGCCGAGGCTCTGGCTGGAGCCCGCTGGGGGCAGGAGGTGCTGAGAAGCGCAGCTGAACTCAGCGGCCAGCGCTCCAGGCCTTCCTGACTTGCCTGAACCCTGACGCCCAGACCGGGGACTCCAGCTTGCCTGGCTTCTGGAAGGTCTGTGGAAGGACGGTGGGCCTCAGAATCTGCAGCCCCTGCTGGCCCCTCCCCAGACGTGGAGAGGCAGGAAGGTCTGGCACAGTGCCATTTGGGGTCTCGGCAGACCCCCAACACCCCCCGGGCTGTGCCCCCATCAGAAATCTGCCTTAAAGGAACAAGGTGTTTATGTGGGCAAAGCCCCACGCCTGCTCCTGAGGGGGGAGGGGGCGAGGAGATGGCTGCCACTTGTCCCCCTTCCTGCGGGGCGACACGGAGCGGCTGCCCCCAGTGAGTGCGGGGGCTCTGGGCAATGCCGTGGCTCCTTTGCTCAGTAAGGAGCAGGGCGGGTGGCAGGGGTGCTTGCGCGGCTACCTGGGGGGAAGGAAGCCACGGGGCTCCTTGGGAGTCATTTTCACCCACAGAGGGGACACAAGCTCGTGGTCGTGTGGCCACGATGGCGCGGCGCCCGCCTGTATGCACCCAGACTGCCAGCACGCCCGTCAACGTCTGCCACGGCTGCCATGTGTTCTCCCGTTCCTGGGTTTTGAGGGCACTTGGTCCACATGCGGCGATGGCTTCCAAGGTCCATGGTAAGGGGGACAAAGGAGGGTTTTCCCAGCGTTATGTATGACGTGGCCTAATGGAAACCCTGGGCTGATGTGCAGGGACAGTCCACCAGGCGACCATCAGCACCGCTCCATCTGGAATGGGTGGCAGAGGCCCTTGCAGCCGGCCCGCTGCAGTGCTTACATAAGCTTGGATTTATTTGGAAGATGGTCATCCAGTTTACTGCATGGTCCCTGTTTCCTGTATGTGGAGGAGAGACCCCCGGGTGTGGGGCACCGAGTTCCCTGGCCACGGCACACCACGAGCAGTGTCCCAAACTGCCCACTCCCACTGGGCTTGGACAAGCTCGAGCCCTGTGCCTGCGGCAGGGGGCGGAAGCAAAGAGCCGTCTCCCTTTCCCCGAGCACTATGACCACGGCTTTCCTCCTATTGCTGGAGCAACCCTGCGGAGCAGGGGTCGCTCTGCATCTTCTGTGCCCAGAGGGGCTGGGCCCGGCGGAGGAGGGGAGCACAGGTGGAAGTCGCCAGGCTTCTGGAGGACTGGATGGCAGGGGAATCCACCAGGGCTGAGGGAGTGGGTGGGCGGTGATGCCCCGAGACAGGGAGGACAAGAGGAGCGGATGGGGTGCGTTGCCAGATCCACTCTGGGCATCCTTCACACTGTCTTGTGGGGGACTGGGCACCCACGCCTGGCACGCTGTAGGCGGCGGGGCTGGAGAGGGACCTGGAGCAGGTGAGGCCTGCAGGTGGGATGTTACAGGTGTGCAGGCTGGGAAGAGGGCTGGCCCCAGAGCCTCGAGCCCAGGGAGAGGCAGAAGCTTCGCGAGAGAACGGGAGCGGCAGGCAGAGTGCGGGCTGGGGACCCCCAGGTGGATGCCGGCCTCCACCCTCTGAAGCCAAGCTGGGGTGTGCCTGCAGGTCCTCGGCATCCTCACCCACAGCCCCACGTCGGGAGAGGTGACCCAGGGGGTGTCCTGATGGCAGGCACCGTCGCCGGGCCCGGGCAGTGCCCGGGCGGCTCCTGGGGGCCAGGGAGCCCACGGAAAGATGCTCAACACCGCCAGTCACGAGAGCAGCACGACTCGAACGAGACGCCACCGTGCGCTCGCCGGGACGGTGGTGATCGATCCGCAGAAAGAAAACGTGCTGGACGGACGTGGAGAACTGGGCACCGTGCACGTCGCTGGGAACGTGAGAGGCTGCGGCGGCGGTGGGAGGGCCTGGAGCTTCCTCAAAGAGCTTAACTCGCTACCCCGGTGAGCCAGCAGCTCCTACCCCGGGCAGGAAGCAGGGTCTCCGGGAGGCAGTTGCGCACCGTGTCCGGCGTCACTCACAGGAGCTGAACGTGGAAGCGGCCCAAGGGCCCAAAGACAGAAGGAGGGTGAGGCGCGGTCTGTCCACGCCACGGAGCAGCACTCGGCCTCCGAGAGGAGGGAGTCCCGGCACCGGCTGCAGCGTGGCAGAGCTGGAGGTCTGGTGCCCGCAGAGGTCAGCCCGGCACCACGGGACCAGTTCTGTGTGAGCGGAAACGCTGTGGGGGAGCCGGACCCACAGACGAGGGGCGCGGGGCATGGCATGGGGCTGTGGCCGAGGGAGGGGACAGTGTTTCACTGGGACTGTTTAGGAAGATGACATGTTCTGGGGAAGGCTGCCCAACATACATGTGCCCTGAACTACGTCCCTAAACACAATTAAGATGGTAAGTTTTCTGTTCCGCATGCGGTCCGCCGTGAAGAGAAGCTGGCGGGGAAGGCAGGGAGCCCGGCCGGAGGGGCTCCCACTGGGCCAGCAAGGACAGGTGAGCACCGGGACGGGCAATGATTAAATCACGGTGGAGGGGTTTCCTGCCGCTGCCGGGACCACTCACCCCAAATCGAGTGGCTGAGAGCAACACGAGTTTACCGTCTCATAGTCCTGGGACCCGGCTCCAGGCCGCACAAGGCTGCTTCCTTCTGGAGGCTCTGGAGATGGATGTTCCCGGCCTCTGCAGCTTCTCGGGGTCCCAGCCTCATGCCGCTGACTTCTGCTTCGGTCCCTCTGCCTCCATTCTCCGAGGACCCTATGACACCGTGGGGCCACAGCAAAGATCCCCACATCAAAAGCCTCCACCTCGCCACGTCCGCCAAGGCCCTCCGGCCCGTGGTGGCGACATGTGCCAGGTGCCGGGAACTGGGGTGTGGGCATGCTGGGGGCTCTGCTGAGCCTCTGTGGCCCCGCGGGTGAACTCCTCATGCTCACAAGGAGGGTCAGAGAAGTGGCCCTGCGGGGTCACGGCCGGGGCTGCCAGGACACGCTGCCTTGCTCGGGAAACCGGTGACGAGAGAGAAAGGACGGTATGCGCTTTTCTGCCTTTCCAGCAGGAGTTCTGGGTCAGGGTGCACACCCAGCTCCCCTCGACGAAGGAGAAGCAGCAGCTGCAGAAGCACGTGGTTGACACGTGGGGGCGAGATGCTGACGAGGCAGGTGGCAGGGCCCTGCGGGGATGCTCCTGGAGCTGCGGTCCTTGGACGCACATGGGGTCCGTGCAGGGCAGCCGGGGGGCTGTGCCAGCCCAGAGCAGGGATACGCGGCCAGCCCTAACCCAGCAGTATACGGGGCCACATGGCGACCACAGCATCACCTAAAAAGTCCTTCCTGTTTGGTCCACGAGGCCTTTAGACCCAAGAGCCAGCGTGTGAGGAAATTGGAGGCAGAGGGACAGGCTGAAGCCCCTGGAAGGGGCAGCCGGATGAAGGTGGACAGCGGGACGCTCCACAGGAAGGAGGCGTCACTTATTAGCTGTCTCTGCTGTGTGACCAGTCGCCACCAGCTTTGCCACTGTAGGCAATGCCTCCCCCCTGCCAGTGCTTCAGGGTGAGTCCAGGCAGAGCCTGGCTCCGTCTGTCCTGGGGGCTCGCCAGGCTTCGGCCCCGTCCGCAGGGCTGGGCTCTCTCGCCGGCAGCTCCTCCAGACCCCGGTGGGCGGAGGGTGGCTGGGCCCCTGGTTTCGGTGGCTGCCACCTACTCCCTTCCCCAGGGCTGCCTCCTTCTTCGGCTTGCGGCACCCCCATCTGGAGCGCCAGGCACTGGGTGCCAGAGGCCCTGTGCCTCAAAGCCCCGGCTCTTCCACATCCCGCCTGAGAAGACGTCCTGCTTTCAGTGCGCTCGTGCGACGGGACTGGGCCCCCCAGAGAATGTCCTTCTGATCAGCTCAGAGGTCACTGAGTCTTCTTAATTATACGGTGGAGTCCCTCCCCGCGCAGGGAAGCAGCGCTGACCCAGCGGCTCAGACAAGGGAAAGCAGGTGTCCCGACACCAGGGCTGGCAGGGCTGGCCCTTCCGCGGCGCCCTCCCCGCCTTGCCCCTGGTGTCCTCCCTCGGCCGGCCTCCGAACTGCCTTCTGTAAAAGGGGCCGTCGTGTAGGCGCAGGGCCCCCTCGACGACCTTGTGACCCTACTTCCACACAAGGTCCCTTTCTGAGGCCCCGGGGGTGTTGGAACC